GGGTTAATGTTCATTAGATCCATATCTGAAAGCAAAATAAATTGAACTCAATCTTTTGTGCTGAAGGACCAATGAATTTCTAGTTTACACAAGATGACATCTTCCAAAGAGAAATCCAAGCAAAAAAAAACCCAAAAATCCATTTGCAACCCTGGACAGAACATGAAGGATTTACTTACTTGCTGAGGTCCACACAACATTTTGCAAGCAGGTATTTACACTGTGGGGTGGTACAGCTGTGTCCCTTTAGGAGCCTGTAAGCTTTGTAGGCCTTTCCTGAGCGGTAGTAACACGTTGCCAGTAAAAACAGTGCTTCTTCTGAGTGTACTGGAAAACACAACCATCAGTTAGATGTTAATCATTTTAGTACAAAATATTCGGGGGCAGGGAGTAAAAGCCAGCTATGGGCAAGATGGAAGAACATGGGTATTGGTATTAGAAATCAATTCCTGAATGAAGTCTTCTTTATCTGTTGGTGAGTACCAAACTCCCTATGCCATTTCCTTGGCTAGTCAGATGAAGTCAACATCTACAGCTTTAAAGGAACTTTGATCTTTCTGGCTACTCAATCTGAATAAGTGATGAGCCAGTTTGTAGTCAGAACAGCAGCAAGCCAAGCAAAGCAGCCAGGCCAGAGCTACTTTAACAACTTGCTGGCCACACCAAGACTGACTGGGCTCAGAGTGTCACCACACCTGCCACCAACATTTTGCACTACTTTAAGGAGTGCATGAACAGTGGAACACTGGATGGCTGTTACAAAGCACAACAACTTCCAGAAGGAAGAGCTATTCCAGCCCAAGTAGCCAGTTTTAATCCCAATTTCAAGTAGTCTTTTTCCATTTGCAATTTTACGTCTGTTCTTGTTCTAAAGCACTCAATGCTTTACCTTCACATGACTCAGCAGAGATGATTTTCTGATTTTAATGACTATAAAAGCCAGTGAGTTACCAGTCTTCACCAACATAGAGTCCTGTCCTTTCTGCTGCCTACTCTCATTATTTCATTGGGAACGTGGCTTAACAGCACCATTCAGATGCTCTGTCTGCTTTATGCTGGGAGCTAGCAATAGGGACAAATTCTCCTACAACCTGGGACAGTGGAAGGTGTCCCTGCCCATGGCAGGGTGAGACTGCATAAGCTTTCAAGTCCCTTCCAACCCAAGCCTTTCTGGGATTCTGTGATTCCATAAATCCTTTTCCCAAGCTGAGAGCTCACAAGTTGCTAAATTCTGGATGAAGTAGTCAAGCATCAGGAAAGTAATTTCCATTTAAACAGAGAACAAGAGGGATCAGGGCAGAAACACTTGCCTATGGCAGAGACTGGAACTATTGAGAATTAATGTCTGTTTCCAAATTTTCTTCCACTGCAATGAATTATGTACAACGCCAAGGATGTTCTACTCAAAGAGCTAGACTTGACATCCAGGTTTGAGACTGAGGTCAGACCCACTTGTGATTACACCATAAAGGACAGAATCAACCCCTGAAGTAATTTTAATCCTTTCTGTAAACTCACAGATTTTGTATATCCATGGTGGCTTAACCCACTCTGTACTTCCCCAAATGTTACACTCAAATCACCCTCACACAATGATATTTTAAATCAAAAGCTGTGTATGAACACAAGCAACTTCAAACTCAACCACTTAATAAACCCACATTAACTTTATACTTCTCAGAAGACATTATCCTGCAAATGGAATTCAGCATTAAATAAACAATTTTGATATTTTTTCGCCCACCCATAGGGAAATCTTTAGAAAAATCAATATGAGCACTGTATAAAAACCTCTTTGGGAATCTGCCCAAATCCTTTGCTTCACTGAAAACTGACTATTTTGTTTTTGTCATCACCCAGACAGTGACAATGGAAACAGAAGACCCAAACAGAGGACATTTTATTAACCTTATCCTAAAAACACCAGAAGACCTTTTTGAAAACTCAAGCTAAATCAATTTTTATCCACTACTTTAACAGACTTTGAGAGTTCTGAGAAATGATCAAACCACAGATGTCCCATCAAGGACAGTAATTGCAGGTAGACTTAAAACAAGTTTTTCTCAGGGTGAAATCACTCCTGCCGACATGGAGCCACTGTATTCAAGTTCTGCAGCTTCCACTCTGCAGTGTAACCACTTATTTTAACCAGGAGCCAGATGTTTTGTTAGCAGTTAATTGCTTGCACCAAGTGTCAGCATTCACGCTGCTTTCTCTCAGCACTGCTGGCCACTGAAAAAGGCTGTTTGAAGTATTCTTGCAGAGAATTATTCTGTAAAGATGTGTCACTATCTAGTCAGGTACTTTTCTCCTGGCTACTGCAAAAAGTGGATTCTCTTTGGTCCTAAACCCTTGGCAATTACCTTCAAGCTACCATTTCCCTGCACCTCACAGTGCACTGTGTTCAGGGGAGCTGTCATCCCTAAAATACTGTTTTCATAAACACCTGGATTATCAGGTTCCATAATATTCCACACAACGTTTCTCATTTCAGCATCAGATCAAACACCCCAGATTCCATTTGTAACCATTTGACATAAGGAAAAAAGAGCCTTTATTCCTCAAAACTTAGGTTTGTGCTTCCATTGTTAAGAACTGCATTGTGGGCACGGCAGGCAAAATATTTCATTACAAAACAGTATGAAATAGCTTAATAGACAGTTTAATTCAAACTATAAGATCAGGTTGTTTAGCATGAGAAATTATATGACACTTGTATTTTATCTTAAGGATTAGGGCTTTTTTGTGTTAGTGGTTAGGGAACAATACCTTTCAAAACAAACAAGGAAAGCTGAACACCAGTATCAAGGAGAAAGACATACAGAAGAACAAAAAGTTTATCTGAGGTCATAGAGAAAAGGTTTAAGAAATAAAAGGTGCTAGAAAACACCAAAAAAGTGTTTGAAGGACCCAGAGAAAGTACAAATCTGTGTTACTGCTGCTCACTGTCCAAGACACCCCAGCCCTGACCGATTTACAATGAAGTAACAATTAGCAGGGATTCAGCAGGAGACACCTGTTCCATATGTTCTGATTCTCACTGTCTCAATTTCACGGTGCTTTTCTCTCACCATCACAAGACTCTCTTTGAGCCAATCAACATATCTGAGCAGCATTATTAGCAAAGACAGCTTTCAATGTCAAGCCAATTTGTAGAATTTGTGTGCTGCATCTATCCTCAAGTGCCCTTGGAAGACATGCAGCGCTTGAGGGTTATTAAAAAACCCCAACATTCTCCCATTAAATATCATAAACCAGATCACTGTAAACACTGCACTTAAACACACAAATCTGAATTTAATTTTAAGGATATTTTACTGTAAAATAACATTGCTGCTGTTACATTATTTGATTTTCCAACCTAGTTGCAAGGCATTCCTCTGACTTCCCCAAGCAGAAAGCTAAACTTCATTATCAGAACAGGAGGAAAACAAAGCAGGAGCAGAGGCTCACAAATCCCAAAATAAAATGGAAAAGAAGCATCAGCTTTACAATTGCAAAGTACACACCTTCTGCATATAACCTTTCTGCGAGGAACACGGCATCGCGATACGCGTAGTGGTTCAGTGCTTGCCAGATAGCAGCCTGCAAGGCAAGAAAACCATCTTCGTTTAGTGGGGAGCTTTAAAAATGCAAAAAACTCATTACCTCTTACTGTCAAAAGGCAAAGTTCAGCTTGCTTTTATAGAGCCATAAAACAAAAGGGGAGGATGAACATGCCAGCCAAGTTGTATTTGTTTCAGCTATTAGTAAAGAGGCTTAAAATCCCCACTAAACTCTGCACTGAAGTCATGTATCAACCTTAGGGTGTTTCTCACTCGTTACCAGCCACAATCATCCAAATTCCTCAGAAATCACTGAGTCTTGGCCTGGTGCACAGCTCAACACCAAACAACAATACCTTCAGTAAAGATAAAACCAAAATCCAAGCCAGGCTGGCCAGAGTATACCATTAAAGCATCTCTCCAAGATGCCAAACCAAAGCCCAACAGGTCCAGAATCCTCTCAGTGTTCAAGAGGAGACTTGTGTTGATTAAACATCTTCATATAAAGGATCTTCCCTGAAGAGGCATCAGTGTTCCCTTAAGGGTCAAGGTGATCAGGACCCAGTGCTTTTTGTGCAGCTCTTTGCTGGGATTTCAGCCACCTCTTCACTGTCACCAACTGTGCAGCAGCACCTGAGAACAAGTGCAATGCAAGTGAAACAGACAAGTTGTATTCTACAGCCACAGATGAACACAATCCTCCTTCTGGTTCTGCTCACACACTCACACCCAGCCAAATCTTGCTCCCAAGTACTGTTTTCTTCCTCATGAGCACCAAGTTTGGGTTTGTGACAAGCAACGTTTGTGCAGACTGGAAGGATGGCACAACTCCAGTGGAACAAACACACACACAGGTGTACAACCTGCACACCAGCAAAGCAGGTGACATTTACTTGCACTGCTGTCACCAGTAGCTGACATAAAAGAGCTGTCCAGGCCTGGGATAAGAGGGTTTCACACAAACTGCTCGGCCAACTTTCTTCAGATCGTATTAAAAGTTGTCTGTTATTTATAAAAGAAGGCTGGGCTGGGGTTTAAAAAATTGTTTAAGATCTGTTCAGCCTTTCCTCCCAACCTACTCTAAGGGGGCTGTGCATGCTCATCAGCGCTTGTGCTCCAAGGTGGGCAGGGCTGGGATCAGGACAGCAGTTCCTTCCCGTATGGGTCTTTGCTTCAGTTCTAAAGCCCTTTTCCATCAGCAGCAAAGAGCCATTTTGCAGAAGTTTTGCTATTACTGATCCCAAATGAGATCTGAACTTATGAATCCAAGGCACTGTGATCTAGAATTTCTCAAATATTCATCAGCAACCAAAGACAAATCGAATTTGCTTTAAACCCATGAGACACTCCAAATCTAAAAGAAATCTTCCACAGGGAAAGCAATACTGCCCTGCAGTGCTATTCCCAGCTGGAAAGGCAAGTGCCAATTTAATCTAAAAAAAAAAAAAATTAAAATTTCCAAACTTCACAGAGTTACATGTACCATATGCTACTTCTTCCAACACAAACTTGACAAACACAGGGTGTGAAAACTGTGCAAGCTCTCTTCACAGGAAGCCCACACAGCCGTCATGAACAGCACACACCAGGGCTCCCAAGTACTACAGGGAATATTATAAACAAATCTCTACAGAGAATCTGTTTTCTCCTATCAGTAGATCCCAAGAATATTCTTAAGAAGTCAACAGGTGCTTTTAAGTTTGTGTGAAAGTATCTGGACGTATTTAAAAGTGAATTATCTTAGTTTGATAATTACAATACAAACACGCTATTGTTTCTCTCTGGTTGTATTCCATATTTCAGATAACTGAGCCTCAGAGCCTGCTGAAGTGATTCCTCCCTGCTGCCTTGAACGGATCCCAGGCTGAAGGTGGTTCCACGCCCTGCAGACACAGCAGGACAAACAGGAAGATAGAAGGTCAGGGTTACAATCTTTTAAGCCATCCTGAAGCCAGAGCAGCCCAAGGTCTCCTTTCTCTTACTCCCAAAAGCAGCTCTTCCTTCCCCAAGTCACAAGTGACGTTTAGATGAGTCCAGCCAAGTTGTGGCAGGTTAAAAACCCTGTCTTTGCAGGGCTGAAACTCAGCCAGCTTACAAAACAAAGGTGTGGGGGTGGGAGTGGGAAAATCAGGGTCACCTGACTGCTCAAACCAGAGCAAGCTGCCAGGAACAATCCTGCCAAAGGCCAAGAGGGGACACGAGGATTTGGGGCTATGTCACAGCACTTTGTAAGAGTTACACTACACACTGGCTCAAATAACAACTGTTGTGGAGCAGAGTGAAAGCAAGAAACGGGCTGGGAGAATTCCTGTTCTCTATCAATTATCATTTTGCAGCCCAAAATATGCCTCCTGCCCTCAACTGACCCGTGCTGGAGTCTGGATCCTCACACACACTCTCCTAAAAGAGCAGGAAGAAGAAAGGAAGGCAGCAGGGAATCAGCCATACCTATGCAGCAATAATTGTTCATTAGAACAGATACCTAAACCATGACTGTGCCTCAAAAAAGAGGATTTCTTGCCCACCATCTAGGACAGGAACATTAATCTCAATATAGCACAGTAATTTATTTTGTTCTAGAAGAAGCACAATGCATATACACAGCACTAGTGGTACACAACTGCTAAACCACACAGAAGAGTGTTCTCAGGGCTGCCTCATAGGAATGAGAAAAGTTGGAAGTGTTTCCACATTTTATTCAAGTGTGCTTGCAGAGAGGATGAAGCTCCAGGTCTTAATCACTCTTTAAAAAAATAATTAATTTGAAATGCAAAATTAACAGGGAATTCCAAAACTACCATACACAGCCCTGCAGCAAGGCATCTTCAGAAAGGAGGGCAGGAAAATAAAATCAGATTCAGACAAGTCCATCTTCTACCAAGAAAATCCTGTGCATTGTCCAAGTGTCACTTCATATCCAAGCCAAATAGCTCTTAAGAGATGTTCTCTTCTGACAGTTATACAACCTTGGAAATTGTTTTCCAAGCTGTTTAGCCTATATTGCCATGCTAAGCAGATTCTGCCACGATTTCAGTCTTCGGGGTGGGCAGGGAGGAGGAAAGCTCCAGGATGGGCTGTGCTGCATTCCCCAGTCACACAAACTCTGCCCACTGAACATGTTGGTCCCGCAGTTTGCAGCCAAGTTCAAGCACCATTCCAGTGAGTCACAGCAGATGATCACCTTGAACAGCTCAATTCCAAGCAAAGTGCTCATTTTCTTTCCAAGATGTTTTTCAGAAGTATTTGGAAGGCATCCAGCCTGTTTCTTAGCACATGGGACACATGGTTTTATGTTGGAGCTGAAGGGTTTTAAATTGACCGTATCAGGAAGTACAGCACAGGGCTGTAAACTCTGGCACTCTCTTCAACTTAAAAGAATTTTAAAAGTTAGCAAAAACCTAACCAGTGGCCAGAATGCCTCCTGGGACATGAATTTCATGTAATTAAAGTACAACATTTCTAAGGCTACATACAAACACAAATGATGTTATTTATCTGTCATGCTGTGACAAATAAGTAACATCACAGCTGGGAGGATGTGAGGATGACAGTTTTTTCCTGGAATGCTGAGCCCTGTAGACATCAGAAAGGCTGGGAGAGAACAGACAAATAGACAGGAACAATCTCTGCAATGACAAAAATCAGAACTAGTGTCAACTTTCCCAGTCACTTCATTTAAGAATATTATAAAAACAGAGCTACATATGTGGACTTCAGCTAAACTGAGAATTCAGAAATGCAATGGACTTTACACAGTCACAAATAATTCCTAAACTTACCAGCACTCCTGTAAGCAAGGAACAGTAGTAAAACTGACAGCAGCAGAACTACTGCTAAAGGAATGATCTGTCATTTAAAAGCAGAATCTAAATAGATATAGTCAATCTAAATAGATATATTCAACATAGCAAAGCCTCATCAAAACATCCAAGCTGGGAAGAGGTTAAGAATGGAGAACGTTATGGATGCATAATGATGCAGAATGGAGCATTAGAGTGGTCTTCACCTTGCTGAATTACCACAAGACCCCAGTTTCTATCAGGGAGCGCTCAGGAGAGCAGACATTTCCACTTGGTCAGTCTAGTTAGCACAGCACTGGAAACATTTGGTATTGTTTCCTGTCAGCTTCGCTTGCTCACACTGCAGTGCGTTCTTGCTTCCTTTTCTGTTCTAATCCCATGTTTTCCTAGAATGCCCAACTGGTGCAAAACCACCAGCCCAGCTCGACAGCTGACACCAGTGATGCAGGATGGCCTGGGCAGGAGAGGGACCAGGTGGCCAAAAGCATTCCCAGCACTGAATGACCCTTGCTCTCAGAGGGGATGAGGAGAGCGGTGGCATCAAGGACACAAACCCCTAGTCTACAAGAATGCCCTCATTGTCACCATCTGCCACAGACAGGGTCAAGTCAGCAGGATTGTTTGCCACAGGAGCCTTTCCTCCCCTTCCACCTTTTCATTAGAAAGAAAAGAGCCAAAAGCAAGAATTCTCACTGTGTTCATCACAGAACACAGTCATACTCCAACAAGACACTGCTGCCAGGAACTAGAAAAAAAGCCCAAAACATCCTGTTAAAATGCTAAAAATAGACTTAAAAAAGAATGGGAATATGAATGAGACGACTGATTAATGAAGATTATTAATAGTTAGAGAATGGGCATACAGGAACTGCGGAAAGAAAAAGCAGCTTTTAATTCCGTGAATCACGACTTTTGGATGGGAAGGCTGAGCTCAAGTACAGGAAACCCATCACAGTAACTGCATTGAGACTGAAACACGAGAGAAAAACGAAATTTACATTATTTTCTCTCCTAGGTCTCCCATTAATCCGAAAAAAACAACTCCTTGGGCAGAAGAAACGTCCTTCACTCGCACGACACAGAGGGATCCAAGCACGCTGCGAGCATTTAAACACGACACGGCAGCACACGCAGAAAGGTGAGCGAAGTATCAACAGGTCTCCCGGGGGATCGGCGGGGCCCTTTCCTGGAGCCGGGTCGGCGGAGGAGCGGCGGGGACCCCGGCACCTCCCCCCGGGGCCCAGGGGGCAAAGGGGCGAGCGCGGCCGGCCCGGGGATGGCACGGCAGGCTGGAAGGGGAAGCTCGGTGGGCTCCGGCAGGAGGAGGGCGGAGGGGCTGGAGCTCCAGCGGGCCCACCGGCCGAGGGGCCTCCGGGAGCGGCCCGGAGCCCCGGCCCCGGAGCGGCCTAACCCGGGCCGGGCCAGGCTTTGGGGCCTGAGCCGCCCGGGGGTCGGTACCTGGACGGGTTCCTGCAGCACCGTCATCCTGCTCTCCCCGGCCTCCGCCTCCTGGTCGCCGAGCCCGAGCGGGGCGGCCCCGGTGCCGGCCCGGCTCAGAGCGAGTCACGGCGGGGCCCGGCCCGACCGCGGCTCATTTGAACCCGCACCGACCGTTACCGGAGCGAGCGAGGCCGGCGGGCGCCGAGTCCGCCCGAACCGGCGGCGGAAATACCCGAACCGTCCGCCGGAAATACCCGAAGGCGCAGGCGGAAAGAGCCGAGCGGCGACGGAAAACAGCTGGGAAAGCCGCGCTCGGCAGCGGGAGGAAACTGCGCGGCGCCGGAGATGGCCGAAGTGGGGCGGAGATGGCCGAGCCGAGGCGGAGATGGCCGAGCCGGAGCGGAGAGGGACGAGCGTGAGGGGAAAGCCGGCAGGGCCTGTGGCTCGTCCCTCGGAGCGCCCGTGGAACGCAGAACTTGCACTTGGTGCCACAGAACGGGCTCTGGGGATGCCCAGCTCTCTCGGGAGCTCCCGCGTCTCTCGTGGTGCGCGCTGGGTTTGCCCAGCGGCTCCCGTGTCCCCGCTCCCCGTGTCGGGGGCAGCACGGCCCGGCTCTGTCCCCGAGGGCTCCGTGCTGATGGGGCTGCCCGGGAGGTTCAGCCGCGGTATCAGAAATCGCAGGATCATGTGGGCTGAGAAACACCTCCCAAACCATTGAGCCGCCTTGGCAATAGGCCAGAGCCTGAGTGCCCCCTCCATCGTTCCTTGGACATCTCCCTGGGCAGCCCCTTCCAGTGTTTAACAACATTCTGTGAAGAAATTCCTCCTGATGTCCTCATATCCAGGAGTAAAACTGGCAGACCAGTAAGTACAAGGCAGGTCATTTTCCAGTTACAATCTCTGACACACAGAGCTTTAGCAAAAGAATGGAATAAACATGTACAAGTAAACCCCAATTTATTAAATATAATGACCTATCAATAGCTGCCTGCAGCTAGCAGAAGCCTTCCTTGTCCAAATCCTTCTGTGGGCTTGCTGAATCAGCCGTAACCCTGATGCGCACACACCTACACACAGACTCTGTGCTCCATCTTGCTCTGCTCAGTGCTCTGGTCAGATCCTGATGTGCTGCCGAACACGCGTGGGCAGGGGCTGTATCTTTGTTTGAGAACAAAAGCTGTGTGTGGAGCAGGAGGGCTCAGCCTGCCTCCTTCCCCTCTTTCCCTGCACTTCTGAAAGGTGTACTTACAAATTTGGTATTGGCAGCAGATCTGCGGGTGTTTGCACTCAGGGTGTGAGCAGGCAAAGCTTTCTTCAATCCTTCACCTGAGACAAATAAATTTTAACTGCAGGGTAGCACTGTCACCTGGAATGGACACCTGGTTTCCTAATCAGGTCGATCCAAGTCATTTTGCCAGACAAAAGGAGGGTGACAGTAACATGAAGTGTCTCCTCCTCTGGAGGCCTTTGGCCTCACTTGCTGATGGTGATGATGGTGGTGTGTGTACGTGGTCTGGGGCTCCAGGAAGGAGCTTTTCAAGGAGCTCAGTCCATATTCACCCTCCTCCTGATCTTGTGCACTACAGATAACTCCTCCTGGGGATGAAAGCTGGCTCCATCTGTCTCTCCCATTCCACAGGGCATAGAACTGACATCCAGACCTTCTTTGGTATGAGAAGCTGTTTTATCACAGCCTGAGGAGATACAGGCTCTCTGGAGTGTGGGGGCTCCTTGTACCTCTCGTCAGAGTCCCATGGAATTCATGTAAAACATCCAAACTGTAAAAGGTCAGTGTTTGCTGTTGTCTTTGGAGATCTGGATTTACAGAGACTCCTCAGTCCTACAGTGCAGTTCTGTCTGTGGGGTCACACACTGGCACCCACAGATGCTTTTATAAATGTCCATGGGACTAAAGCTGCTTTCTCTGTGGAATCCTCAGCTTTTCCAGAGGAGGGGAGCAGCCTTGCCAGGGGAAGAGGCATGGAGGCACAAGCAGAGGTACAGACGTACACACTGTGCCTGTTCAAGTGCATCATTCCAGCCTGCTTTGCTACAAACCAGCTCTGCTTTATAAAGAGACACAACAGATCCCTAAAGTGTGTCTGGCTCTTCCCTCTTTTCTTGTAGTTCTGTCATTTCCCACTGCTTGCTTTCTGTCTCTTTGCAGGTCTCACTTTGGTTTTAATTCAGTGTTACTGCTTTCACTCTGGAAGCTGGGGGCTCAAACACAAGGTTTGCACAGAGGAGTGAGAGTGCAGCCTCTTGGCTTGCAGGGCAGGGGTATCACAGCTGTAGTGGGAATATCATGGCTAGCAGGGATATCAAGGCTAGTAGGATATGGTGGCTACACAGGAGTATCATGGCTACACAGGAATATCGTGGCTACAGCAGGGATATCATTGCTATAGCAGGGATATCACTGCTCCAGGGCCCCCAGTCCCTGCTGTGGATTTCCTCTGTGAGCTGAGGCAGATTCCCACCTCTCCTCTGCTCAGTTCCTCTCTACCACAGCACGTTCTGCTGCAGGAGTCAGTGCCACAGCAGTGACAAGGACAGACGTGACCCCGGAGCGTGCAGCAAGCAGGCTCCATTCTGGCCCCGTCACCACGATCCTCTAGGAGGTTAAAGCACAGAGAGCGCATTAAAAACATGAGGTGCCCAGATCCTGCCCAATGGAAGCTGTAGGAATAGCACAAAGAACTGCTCAAATCTAATCTTGCATCTATAAACAGCTTGTGTTGCTTTTCATTAGCAGTTGAATCAAACAGTGGGAATTGAAAGCAGCTGTTACTCAGCCACTGCACAGGAATGAGCGAAGTCAACATGTCAGAGCAAAATGCCTTCGATTTCTAGTCAAAGACAGAGTGAGGACGTTGGAATAAGGAACAAATCAAAGGAAAGTGTTTGCTGCTCCCAGGTGTTCTGCTGATGGGAAGGCTGAGTTATGTGTCATGAATTATTCACCTCTTGTGGTGATGCTCTGAAGATTGCTTTGCAGGTAGGAAGAGGGAGAGAGTCACCAGCTTGTAACACACAGCCTCCTGAGAGCTCCTGGCTGGAACCATCTGCCTGGAGAAGAACCGTCCAGGGAGCCCATCCCAGGCAGGACATTACCCACAGCCCATGGGCCATCACCCCACGCCATGAGGGTGGACCTGGCCCAGTTTGGCTGGGCCTAGATCTGTTCTTTCCCCATTTTTCTTCTCCCTTGCTGATTCAGCAGGAGTCAACTTACTGAAAACCTTCAAAACTAGACTTTTGGATGTCTCATTGATACAGAACAAAGAATGTTTTTCATGCTTTTCTGATGTTTTGGGGGTTTTAAAGGCCTTTCCTGACTGGGACAAACAGTGCATTGATGATCCTCACTTACAAGTCTGAACTCTTCCTTTTCATTCCCTGCCTTTTCCCCCTCTCTGTGGAAATACCCTGTTACCTCTGAGAGCTGATGGAGACCAAGGGGTCTCCTCCACCCACTATGTCAATAAGTAGTCCCAAGCCAAGGCAGACAAACCATTTAAGGGAGAAAGGAATGAAATTTAATGAGACAAATGTCACAGGGAAAACCTGAAAAGAGTAACTTGAGGTTTAAAACCTAGTTGCAGATGCACTGAGTACCAGGCTCAGGTACACACACGTGGTGTGTGTTTTGCTTTAGGCAAAACATCCCAGGGAAAGGACATGCATGGAGGAGTCTTGCTCTTCGTGGTGCTGAGGTGGGTCCAAGCATTTCTGAGAGCCTGGGAGACAAGTGGGAGAGGTCTGAATGCAAAGAATCTTTGGGATGAGAGTATTCAGAATACTCTTTCTCAGATGAACCCAAAATGTCAAAAGCTGTAATTCAACACCATTTAAAAGAGTTTTATATGAAAATAGTTATATGAAGAATTAAATCTTCTGTCAGCCTTTGCCCACCCAACCATCTATATTGCTGAGCTGTTGAACAGGAACCAGAAAGAAATGGATTAAAAAGGAGATGAAAAGGATGCTGAACATTCAAAGTTCGGACTTCCGTCTGTCTGCATTTTAACCTTCTGCTGTTTAAAGAGATTTTGGGAGGGAAGAGATTTTTAAATGTTTAATTTGTGTATTTAGCACTATCTGAAGGTCATTATTACTTCTCCACCCCCCACCCCCCCACACCCTACCCCCCCCGGCCTCATGCCTTTTACATAGCTGAGGGATAGGAGAAATGTTTAGAAAAGTAAATAGATAATGAAATAATAAGAAATTGGCGGGGAAGCTGGGGCCAGGCAGCAATTTGGATTTTCTTTTCAATTGAATACATTTTAGAGGGATAATTCAACCTCAAAGAAACCTAAACCTGATCCCCTTAGCAATGTTTCTCTGTTTTCCTCAGGCAGATCTTTAGGAATGTGAAAAAGTTTAAGAAAATCCATGGTACATTTTCCTTATTCTTTGTAACATTAATGGGAATATTGATATTTTCATTTCGGAAATTTCCTCTCTAAGTACTAAATATTTTCTTAGCATTGAGTCATTCACTGATGCATGTTTAAAAATATTGATTTCCAGTGGCTGCTGTTGACCCCCTCAGCTACTGGCAGGTTCAAAAACCTGGCACCATAAACCACCTCTTTCTTTCCAAGCAGAGACTCCATCCAATTACCCAGACCACAAAGGACCATCATGGTTGTGATGCTGTCCTGATAAATTTTAATTGGCAGGAGTTACAAATGAAATTCCTTATCATCAACGTAACTTTTGTGCCTTCAGAGCTGGGATTATTCCTGTGGCATTAGTCCACTGCAGGTTTGGGTGTTGGCTTCCCTGCCCCTGGCTGTTACTTGCAGGATTTCCAATTTTGGAGTGAACAGCAGGAGACGCCACTGAACTCACCTGAAGTTTCTTGTTTCAGCCAGACATGATGTGCTTGACAAAAGCTGAGGAGAAATAAGAGCGTGAGGGGTCAGGACATGCTGTGAGCTGGGAGGAGCAGGTGGAGAGGCAGCAGGGGGGACCCCCAGCCTGGACGCTCCAGGGATGAAGGGGATGCTGTGCCAGGACTAATATTTCCCTTTCCGTTCCCACTTTTTGCATGCCATCCCCAACCTGGTCAGAGTGATGCCAACCCTTGGAGATGAGCCAGTACCATTATCCCCATTTTTCTGAGGCCAAGGGAAATGTGTCCCCTCTTTTCCTCACTGCTCTCCAATTTTAGGGGTTCCTAAATTTAACCACCTCCTATTCCAGATTTTCACCCTCTTGGAGCAGCGAGTGATCCAGGTCTCCAAATGTTCCCAATTAGCCTCTGCTGGGAAAGATGCTGGCTTTGTTTATTTTCAATAGATTGCAACAAAACAGTGCCAAAACTGTGGATAAAACAGCCCTGAACTCCTTGGAAACATGCTGTCTTCAGCTGCTTTTCCTGGAAATCACTGGCACAACCACCTTGTTCCCACCCATTGTTACATGTCTCAGTGCTTTTTTGGAAAGGCTTTGGAGGGTGGTCCAGACCTCCCTCCCAGTGATCACCAGTGTTATAGAATCATGGAATCATTAAGGTTAGAAAAGACCATGAAGAACATCAAGTCCAAACAGAGCCCTTGCAGAGGATGCATTTTGCATCCTAAGACAAGACAGCCACGTCTGAGATGGTCCCGATGGGAATCTCCTGCTCTTACCTTCATAGTTGATACAGCCGTTGGCATCTTCCTGCCCTGCCATGAGCTGCTCCACCTCGCTTTCTGTCATCTTCTCTCCTGGAGGAGGAGGATGGAGAGGTGAGGGGAAGGGTTTTCAGCCTGCCAGGACCTTCCTGTCCTTCTTCCAGATAACCAGAGACACCAGAGGGAGGAGAAGGGGATTAGGGAAGAGCTGTGTGCCACTACTGATGAATGCTGGTGGGTGATGGTGGAGAGAGGCCTACACTGCAACTGTTGTCTGATAACTGAGGATGTTCTGGAGTCTCCTTGCCTGAGTCATGCATGAAGCTGTGGCATGAGGTGGAAATGGCCCCACATTCAGGACTTTTGACTCCTAAAAGAGCCTGTAAAGAGCAGAGTGAAAAGGGCCCCGCGATATGTGAGACCAGGCAGCTACCCGAGCCGCTTGCCCAGAAAGAGCTCGGCCCATGCCTTGCTGCCCCCAGCCAGCCCCGGGGCCAGCCATACCCAGCGTGACCAGCACATGGCGCAGCTCGGCTCCCATGACCATCCCGTTGCCCTCCTTGTCGAAGACACGCAGCCCTTCCACAAAGTCCTCAAAGGTGCCCTGCTCCTTGTTGCGAGTGAAGTGCTGCAGGATGGGGAGGAAGGTCTCAAAGTCCAGCATCTTTGTGTTCATTTCTGGAAGAGGAGGAGATGGGGTCAGACATTAACCTTCACAGGGCTAAATTCAGCCTCTGAGGGTCTCCTGATTAACTCAACTATTGTATTAGACTTGAGATTGGAAGAGCCATGTGAGGAATGAAGTATTAGTATCAGGGGACTGCACAGAGACCCCTGATATTGGCCCAAAACTAAACCATGAGGTGGGTCGTCTATCACCACAGTAATGTGGTTGCACTGGGACTGGCCTGGTTATACCAGTTTGCACCAGTTCAGAATAAAGCCTGCTAAGCATCACTTGCCACCATTCCTGTGTGAGGACTGCCTATCCTGCATGTCATCATCCATGGTATGGGGAAGGAGAATGAAGGAATTACACAGGAATGAAGCCTGTCTGCATTATTTCCTTCCCAGTTCCTTCGCCTTGCAGGGTTCTTCCTACAGGGAATGTAACCCTCTACTTGCTGACAGGGAGCACAGAAATTGCTTGTCCCACCCTGTCCCCAGCTTGCTGTCACCTTCTGGTTTGGGCTTGCCCAGCACCTTGAGGACCTCTGCGTTGGTGGGGTTGTGGCCGAGCGCCCGGAGGACGTCCCCGCACTGTCCGTAGCTGATCTGCATCATCCCTGCCGGTGTCCGGTCAAACAGCCCGAAGGCTTCTCTGAACTCTGCAGGGAAGAAGAGCTCGGAGCCGCCCCATTCCCACCCCAGGGAAGCAGCAGTCGTGCCTGGCCGGCAGGGAAGAGACAAGGGACACATGCATGTTGTGCCCTCTTGAATGCGTGGCAGCCCCAGTGAGCTTGCGCAATGCGGCCTGAGGTTTGCCAGACTCCTTAGAGTTGCTTGGCTGCTCGGGCAGGTTTTGTCACCCCTGCAGAGCTGGGTGACGTGCTGAATCCCTGCACCCTCAGCAGCTGGCTTTGCTGCAGGACATCTGTACTTATCCCCTTTCCCACTCAGGTCTCCACTCTCTGGGGCTGTCCCTGTGTTGCCAGAGGATGTTCCTCCCACCAGAAGCCCTGACTTTGACCCAGGCTGCGTCTCACACCATGAATGAAAAATACCTTTTACCAGGATCCTGTTGGCCTTTCCCCCAAGAGGGGATTTAATGTGTGGGGCCTCGGCTCTTATGTCTGTGGTGAAAAACTACCTGGAAAAAGGATTCCCCATTTCTAAAGCCATCTCTGAGAGAAGCTAACTCTGCACTTACCTTCAATCTGCTCTGCTGTGAATTCAATCTGTAAAGAGAAGGAAGCAGAGCTGGGCATGAGGTATGGATTGCTGCTGAAGAGAGCAAAGGAACTCTCCTCTCTGGACCTCTCCCTCCCCAAGCTCGGGGCAGGGGGCCGTATCCATGTCCTGTATCTATGCCAGGTCTGGCTGTGCTGAGTCCCCGACTGCTTCTGCCCTCACTGTGGAGCTGACTTTCCTGGGGAGAGCACAGCTGGAAGCAGCGGGGTGGGCAGGCAGGAGAGATGCTCAGACCACAGTCAGGACTATTTTGGATGGAAAGGATGTTATTTTAGGGCCTGATCCCAAGTTCAAGTGATTAAACAGTCTCCATGCTGAGCCTGCTCTTAATAACTCTTGTGCCATAGCTATGGCTTAAACATGTAAGTATACTGAGGAATCATGGAAAATGTGAGTTCCTGTTGTGGAGCTGTTGGATAAAGGATGCTGTTATGTGGAGGAGGCAACACAGGCAACAAAATACTTCAGGATGGAGACAGTGGGTGGCAGAGAAGCTTTTTATTGCTCCTGAGGCAATAAAAGCTGACCCTCCTGACCCTGACACGGGGTCTCAGCAGGAGCTGGGGGTTCAACTCTGCAGCCACAGCTTAGGGAGCAGCGTCCTGGTTCACTCCAGTGAGTGCTGGGCAGGGTGGGGTGGGCAGCACTGACACCTCTCCCTAGCGAGGACAGCATCACTCCCAGCCTGCTGCATCCACACAACCGGATAATTTTCCCCTCCCAAGGCTGGCTTCCAGCCTGGCTAATGTAATTTGCAGAGCGCTTTGCATCGCCTGTGCCTGGCAGATGACAGGCACGGAGAAACACTGTGATGTCTTCATTCCTCACTCACCTTCACGCTCTTGGGATCGAAGGCAGGCTCCGAGCCTGGAGCTGCTTTGGCTGCTTCCTTCCTCGGGTCCGGTTTCTTGAGCGGCATCGCGCTGGGATTTGCGGAGGTGCGGGATGAGTCCTGCCGCCCAGCGAGGGAAGCGAACGGAGGGATGAAAGGCAAAGGCTGCTCCTTCCCTTATATACGGAGCCCAGTGCTCACCCTGGAGGGGCAGGCCAGCTGCTGGAGCAACTGCTACTTACTATAAAAGGAAGAAAACTCAAACGAGAGGGGCCCCAATTTGACAATTGCCCATTGTCATCGGCTCCTGGCTCCACGGAGGCACCAGCCGCCCCCCCCCAGCTGTACAAGGGGGGACATGTCCCCCTCCAGCACCTGCACCGGGTGGGCTGCATGGGGGCTGCTTGCTAAATGATCATTGAGGCCTAAACACAAATGGCCACGGGGGCCAGGCAAGAAAATAGCAACAGGACGGCTGATAAACCTGCCGTGATACCCACGGCAAAATGCGCCTGTTTGCAGGCAGGCTGCGAGGGCCAGCACTGCAGAGCCCTTCTAACACCAGGATTTACAAAGTGCTGCTTCAAAGGAGCTCACAACTCCCTGAACACTCCCTTGGCCTCGTGCTCAGGGTCTGCTTTGTCCCAGTCTCTCCCCAGGGCTGAGCTTGTGCCCTGGAAAAAGCCAGTGTAGGTGCTCACCTCCCTCAGGGTGGCTAATGAGGAAATGGAAATGATGGCCAAAGACACAACTGAATTCTGAATTTGCATCAGTGCAAATCTTTCCCAGCTTTGCAATCACCCAAACCCATCCCAAGCACCTCCAAAACCTGCAGGGCAGATGGAGTCTCCGTTTGGCTTCTCTTCAGGTGCTGGGCAGGCTCTGGTGGGAGATGCTTCTGCTCTCACCCTCCTCTCCCAGCTGAAGACTCACAAAGGCACAGAACTCATTGAAATTCAGCATCCCAGAAAATGGGGTTTGAGGGTTTTACTGAGATATTCTGAATCATCAACTCTAACAAGATGTGTGGGGCACCTGGGCGAAGGAGTTACGGGGGTCATTCCGGAGAAGGGAGCAGCCACAAATTGCTGGGAATTCTCTGTGTGCCTGCTAGCAGGGACTGGGGAGCTGAGGGGGCTGGATGGGTGTCATTTGCAATCATTGCTTTCCAGAGCTCTCTAGAACATAACGAGTCATTTAGCAAAAAAACTCAACATGTTTTGCTAAGTGTGAACTCAGAGCCTGGGTCAGGTGTCGCCTGGGAAATCAAGAGAATCAAATTGCCCCTGAGCTTCCTCCCAGTCAGCATCCATCGACTCTAAAATAACCTCACCTTAACTCCATCTTCACTCCCCAGCAGCTTCTGGGTCAGAAATTAGACCCAGCAGAGGCTTCAGAAAACATTCATGTGCAGTCTGACTGTTTATCCCTTGCTCGCCCTCCATGCCTGTGCAGCACCCCGAGTAGCCGCTGGCAGAGCTGGTGTCACACCCACGCCATGGCTCAGGCAGTGGAGACAGGCAGCTGCAGACTATGTCCCCAGTCCCTCCTTGATTTTCAGCTGATGGCCTTCATGGGGCTTGTTTTGCTGTCTGATTCCATCAGCAGGAGCAGCAGCCCCTCCTGAGCCCTGTCCCTGGGATTTGTGGTGTTCCCTGGGCCTCCCCTCACCCAGGAGCCCAGCAGGACTCTGACCCTTATCCTGCAGTACTGGGGGCTCATGGCTGGGACCAGAGTGAGCTGCCTTGCCAGGAAAACCCCAGGGAAGGCTCCGGGGGCTCTGCTGCTCTGCGCAGGATTGGGGCACTCACAGAGGCAGCAAGAGCTGTGTCTGGACATGGATTATATGCGTCAGGGGAGGGGCCCAGGCTGGGAGCTGCTGTTCCAGGGATTTGGCACTGGGCTGTTGAATTCCAGCCTCATCCCGCTAATGACAACCTGCCTGGGGAAAGAGGGCTCCCCTCTTTGTGCCCCATTTCTCCAGGGGGACGCTCGGGCTTCTGGGGGTCACAAGGGTTGGAACTGGCTGGGTGGTGGGAGCAAGCTGAGCATCAGCATGTCCCTGAAAGGCAGGAGACAGCCCTGGGGCCATGCCAGGGGGATGCAGGTGACAAGGGATGGTGACAGCTGCAGTGAGACCAGCTCTGACCTGACCCGGTGACGGTGTAAGACCCCATCCAGGTGGCTGCTCCCTTCACCCCCCTGCCCCAGGATGGAGTCTCCAGCCCCTCTCCCGAGGAGATCGAATGCAGACATGCCCTGAAGTCACTGCGGGTGCCTGGGAGAGCAGGACAGATCCCAGCATATCTCCCCAAAACAATCCCATCCCCGGAGAAGGAAAGGGGTTAAACTGGAGTCTGCCTGAAAGACATCCCATCACAGGAGCATCAGCTTGAGGTGCTGCTCACGTGCTTGCACCCTCTGCCTCCCTGCCTCCAGCCACCTCGCTGGGATTTTCCCCACCTTCCTCCAGCTACTTGGGACCAGTCTGGGGCTAGAAGGGACTTAAGAGCGTGGGGGCAGTGGGGGAATCCTGTGACAGTTGAAAAATGAGCCACCAGGCAGTGAGAGAAGTTTCTGAAAAGAGAAGAGGAATCTGCCTTGAATGAAGAGGATTTTAGCACCTTGGGCTAAGCCAATAAACCTCTGCCATCTCCATCCAAACGAGATTTGTTTGCACACGCTCCTGGAGCTGCTTAAAGCAGGCAAGACACAAAGAGAGAATAGGATCAAGCATGGTGGGGGGAGAAACCCCCCTGCCTGGAGAGCCTCTGAGCAGATCCCTCTAGGGATCCCACAGGGACAGGGACCTCACCCAGCCCCGATCCCCAGGGACGGGCTGTGCCCCCACTGCCACCTCACCTCAGTGGGGCTGGCAGCCAGCAAGGTGCTCCCAGAAGATGCTCTGTCCTGCTGAACACACCAGTCCTCTCCACCACTGCGATTCTGGTCCCTGAAGTCCCCATCCGAGTGACACGGTGGCACCATGGAGGCATCTGGCCCTGTGGGAGGCATCATGGTGACTCTCCTCTGCTGCTGCCTCCTGAGCTCGGCGTGGGCTCTGGTAAGTCTGCGTGGCCCCGCGGCTCCTCCCGTCCCTCTCCTGCCTTTAAATGTTGCCACTGGCCCGGGCAGGGCTGGCTGTGCTCCCGACTCACATCCCGCTCCGCAGAACTGCTGGGCAGGAGGAGAGAGCACTTCCACTCCTGCTAAAAGCTTTCCAGCAGCCATGGAGGCACTGCAGCGTGATGGCTTTTCCATTTCTTGGACACATCCAGGGCAGGGGTCAGTGCCTCGGAGGCGCTGGGGGGAGCAGAGCGTGGATTACGGGCAGTGCGGGAGGGGCTGGAGGGCAGAGCTGGGCACAGCCACTGAGACCCCCACAGACAGGCCCCTGTCCTGCTCATGCACCCCTAGGATCCCACTCCTGCCTCACATCCCTGACCAGCCCCCCATTCATCCACCCAGATGCTGCTTTGGGGAAGAGCATGGATGGGAGTGCTGGATCTCCTCTCTGGGGCCAGGTTTGGCTGTGCTCACTGCAGGCAGTCTGGGGAAAGCGGTGTGCTGGGGAGGCTGAAGGTGCCGTGGGTTGCACTGTCTGCTCCGGGCACTGGGCTGTGCCTGCTTTGCTGAGCCCTGGTCGGGCATTTTACCCAGGGGGTGCCAGACCTGGCCTGGAGAGCTCAGCATGGGCAACAGGGACACCCAGCACTGCTGGTGGTGGGTGACAGGAAGCTGGGCAGGAGCCCAACAGGCCACTGATTTCTGCACAAAACCATGAGCAGAAATGACCACAGAGAGGGTGGGAAGGGGCTTGGAATCAGCATCAGCCTTGGAAGAGGGAAAAATGAGAACAGGAATGCAGGAAGAGCTTTTTTCTTCCCTGTGTTGTTGAATCTACCCAAAGGCACCCAAACCTGACTCTCCTGGAGAGGGTTGGGAGAGCATAGCCTTGCCATGACTTGAGTCAAGGGGGTGTCACTTGGGTTTTGTCTGGGCAGATCGATCCCGATGATGTTCTCACGAAAGAAGAGCAGATCTATCTCCTGGTGGAGGCTAAGGAAAAGTGTCAGAGGGACATAAAGGCCCAGCTGGAGAAGATCAAAGGTATTGTCCCTCCCCTGTGAGCCAGCCCTGGTGGAGCTGGTTACACTGTGGGGAATGCTGTCCTCTCTGTTGGGGCAGGATGGGGCTGAGGACACCCAGCTCCCGGGGGTTTGTGGAGCTCATGGCACCATCTGTGCTCTGAGTGCAGCCAGCACCGGCTCCAGCATTTTCCAGACAGCTCCATGTACACCACAAACGAGAGCTGTGAAGGGGCTTTGCCCCATCTGGAAGAGGTGGGATGTGTCCCCTTCCCTGGCCCCCTGCAGCCCAGGGGGATCTGAGGCAGTGTTTTCCTCCCCCTGGTCCAGCACACACCTGGGGAAGCCAGAGGTTATGCTGAGGCCCTGACTGGAGATGTGAGATGTGTCTTTGCTCTTTGGCCAGACCCCAGCTGCCCTCCAGAGTGGGATGGGATCATCTGCTGGCCAAGGGGCTCCCCCAGCCAGGAAGTGTCAGTGCCCTGCCCCGACTACATCTACGACTTCAACCACAAAGGCAAGCCTTGTACCTGGGCAGAGAGCGACCTCACCCTGGTGACAATCCACGGAGCAGGGACAAGTCTGGGCTTCCCATGGGTCCTGCCGCTGCCACAGTGCTCGTTGCTGTTCCCAGGTCACGCCTACAGGTACTGCAGTGCCTATGGGACCTGGGCCATGGCTCTCAGCATCAACAAGACCTGGGCCAACTACACGGAGTGTGCCCCGCTCTTCTCCTCTGAGAGCCGGAGCCACCAGAAGGTGACCTTGTTTGTCAGAGGTGCTGGGCAAGGGGCGTGGATGGGGACCAGGGGTGGATGAAGCAAAGGCCAGGGGAAGTGCTGGGGGCAGGGGCTCTTCCCTCTCTGCTCCTCAAACCAGTTGTGCTCCCCCTGTGCTCTGGCAGGGAGGTGGACCTCAGTCCTTCTCTTCCAGGAGGTGTTTGACCGCCTGCACCTCATGTACACCGTGGGCTACTCCATCTCCCTGGCCTCCCTTATTGTCGCTGTCTGCATCCTCTCCTACTTCAAGTAAGGAGAGGCCAAAGCCCCTCCCATGTGGAGAACAGGAACTCATCCCATTGTCCACACTCATGAGCCTGGGGAGGGGGCAGCCCCCAAAGGAATGGGAACAACCCCAGACCCAGCACAAACATCAGCCAATTTCCCAAAGCCCTGAACACCCGCAGTGTGACCAGCTCCTGATCTGCTCCATCCTGCTCTTGGACAGTGTGGGCACCCCACCTGCTCCCAGATCTGGTTTCTGTGCCCAGACACCCCACAGCTCACTCTGAGAGCCCCCATTCCCTGAGCCCAAGTGTGGTGAGTTGGTTGGGCAGCTGGGGTTTGGTTCGTGTCACATCCCTTCTCCACAGGCGCCTGCACTGCACACGGAATTACATCCACGTGCACCTCTTCACCTCCTTCATCTGCCGGGCCCTCAGCATCTTCCTCAAGGACATGGTGCTCTACTCGGGCACGGTGCCCAGCGACGCCGACAGGATGCGGGAAGATGATTTCAGGGGTCCCTTGCCAGGACAACGGGGCCACCTGGTAAGTGGTGGATGGGGTAAAGGGGGATTTAGGAGTCCTGATGCAAGGGGATGTGCTTGGGATCCTCCCTAGGGCTGTGCTGCTCTGCCCAGCTCCTCCCTGTCCTGGTGCCACACTAGAGACCAGAGCCACAGAGTACCTTGGCCTGTGTACAGGGAATACCTGCCCTATGGGAAGGAAGATGGTGAATATCCCAGAGGAGATGCAGGTCCCTGCAAGGAGAACACGGGGCACAGCTGAGTTTTGGTGACCAGAAAGCAAAAGCCACCAGATTTTGCTTTTGGGGACCAGCTTGACACAGGCATCTCCATGTGCCCACAGGTTGGCTGCAAGGTGGTGGTGACTCTCTTCCTCTATTTTCTGGCCACCAACCACTACTGGATCTTGGTGGAAGGTCTCTACCTGCACAGCCTGATCTTCATGGCCTTCCTCTCCAACAAGAACTACCTGTGGGTCCTCATCATCATCGGCTGGGGTGAGCACAGACCCCAGCCCCGGCCGTGGTCCCGCAGAGCAGCCAGGAGCTGTGGCCACGGCTAAGCAGCACCGAGTGCCCAGGGAAGGGCAGTGGGATGCAGGAACTGGTTTGGTCTGCAAAGGTGATGCTTCAACCCTGCTTCTCACTCTGTCCCTGCCCTTTTAGGTCTCCCTGCTGTGTTTGTGTCCATCTGGGCCAGCGTCAGGGCCTCGCTGGCAGACACACAGTATGTACACCCACCTTTGCCAGGGCCTTTGGGAGGGGAAGAGTGGCTGCAAATGCCAGCAAAGGATCTGTGGGCACCAGAGCTTTTTGGAAATGAAACTTGTCCAAAAAGAACAACAGAAGGGAACACACATTCAAGGCTTGTTCATAGAATTGTCAGTAATGCAGAGCGATAGTGATTTTGTTCTGCGTTTGGGAGGACGGTGGATGCAGGTTTGCAGCAAAAATTGATCAATAAACAGCACAGAGATGGACGCTAAGGGCATATTCTGGAGTGAGGCTTTTTAAAAGGAGAAAGGCCATCATATGAACAACAGGAGTTTGGGATGAGGTGGCCAAGGAGCCCTCAGGAACATAAATGATCATTTAAACCTGCTTTGCCCCATCATGATGACTACAAATGCTTGTAGCTACAGCTCCAGATTTACATAAAGCCCACCAAGTGGGTGGAGAGTGGGAGCTGGGGGTGCTGTGGTGGTTGGGGGTACAGGGAGCCATCCTTCCCACTGGTGTCAGGTTTCTCCAAGGAGTTTCTTTACTGGTCTTCTCAGGTGCTGGGACCTCAGTGCAGGGAACATGAAATGGATTTATCAGGTCCCCATCCTGGCTGCAGTAGTGGTAAGAATCCTGTGGATGAACCTCCCAATTCCTTTTAGGGAAAGAGGATTGATAGAGACCAGAGCTGTTTGCCTGTGGTCACTGGAGTTTCGTCCTGGCCCCTCTGTCACCCAGGATCCCAGAGGGATCCAGGGCCTCTGGTCCCTCCCGCTGTGACCACAGCATCACTGCCGTGTCCCTGCACCTCACCCAGAGCTGCCTGTGTCCCCAAGGGCTCCTCCGGCAGAGCCCAGCTCACAGTGGGCACCATCACCACCCTGGGTGTCTGTTGGCAGGTGAACTTCTTCCTCTTCCTCAACATTGTCCGGGTGTTGGCCTCCAAGCTCTGGGAGACCACCACGGGCAAGCCAGATCCCCGGCAGCAGTACAGGCAAGTGCTGGCAGCACCAAAGCCTCGTGTCCTGCCCGTTCACCAGGACAGCTCCCCGAGCTTGTGGAGGAGGAGCAGAGGTGTGGGAAGGGCTGGAGGAGAGAGGAAGGGTAGCAGGACGGTGGCAGCCAGCTCCTCCGGCAGCTCGGCTGGACCGAGGCCTGCTCTGGAGCTCTGAGCTCTTCCTGCTCCCACCCCCAGGCGGGCACTGCGGGGCCGGGGGCTGCCCAGCAGGCTCTGGGGAACGGCTCAGGTCTCTCCTTTCAGGAAGCTGCTCAAGTCCACGCTGGTGCTGATGCCACTTTTCGGAGTCCACTACGTGGTGTTCATGGCCATGCCCTACACCGAGGTCTCCGGGATCCTGTGGCAGATCCAAATGCACTACGAGATGCTTTTTAACTCCTCCCAGGTGGGTTGGCACGGGACTGCTCCCAGCATTGAGGGATGTTCATCCAGGGAGGCTCAGGGACCTAACTCCACGTCTTTTGGTCTCTTGGCAGGGTTTCTTTGTGGCTTTTATCTACTGCTTTTGCAATGGGGAGGTAAGTGGGGAGAGTGAGGAGCTCAGCTCCCTGTTCCAGCCCCTTTGGAGTCAGGGAAGGCAATCTTGAAGTCCCAGGCTGTGACAGCCAGAGCGAAACGCGCAGATCCATCCTTCTCAACAGGATTTGGAGGGAAAAAATAGGAAAAAGGGAAAGGGAGGCAAAAGGGAAGGGAGGAGGGCAAGGCAAGGCTGTTTTTCTGTCTCTGGGCACAGCAGCCCCCTCTGCTCTCTCAGGTGCAGGCCGAGATCAAGAAGGCTCATTTCCGCAGGCTCCTGGCGCTGCGCTTGGGGCAGCAGGCGCGCCCCGGGAGCTGCTGCTGCGCTGGGCAGGGCTCCCAGGCCCCCCAGAGCTGCAGCACCAGCCTGGCAGGGCGGGCAGCGGGGGGCACCCAGGGACTGCTGCTCCCGGCCCGGCCCCACCTGCCCGGGTACATCCCCGGCGCCTCGGACCAGCTCCTGCCCTGCCCCGCGCAGGAACTGAGCCACAAAGCCTGGGGAGAAAACACGGTGGATTTGACGGGGCTGACTCAATGTCAGGCCAAACCCAACAAGGAGCTGGAGACGATGCTGTGAAGCAGAGGGTGGATTTCCCACCAAAACCAAGCCATAAAACCTCATTCTCCTCCAGTGCAAGTGACTGATGTGATCTCTGTGCTTGCAAAGCCGTGCCTCTTCACCAGGAAATGCCGCCGTGCTCGCTCCTACCCCACAAGGGGGAGGTGACCTCTCCAGGGCGGGTGAAGCCCATCCGTGAGCCCAATGCTGCCTCAGACTCTCCTGCCCAGCACCAGCTCCGGCCTTGTCCAGCCAGGGGAGCACAGAGTGCCTGTGGGGCGGCTCTGCAGCTCACCCTGCCCTCCCTCATCGTCTGCCACTCGTGGATGGAGTGAACACCAACACACAACCACAAACTGGAGCAGGAGGCACTGGGACAGGGTGGGATGAAGGAGGCAGGACAAATTTTATGGCCTGGAAGGGTGCAGGGAACACCTGAATCCCCAACACTTCATCCATTACCACAAAGGCCCCTGCATGCAACTGTTGTGGCCCTGTCAGCTCACTGCAGGCTAAGAAGTGAATAAAGAGAGTCTGCCTGGCTTGTTTCCACTCTTCCATTCCAGCCCGGAGCCGACAGTGGGGGAAAGGCTGGAACCCTGGCCCCAGCCAGGTCTGCTCTCCCTCTGCCCCTGCCACGGACAGGAGCCCCAGCATCTCCCTGCCCTGCACTGCCTCGGAAAGCTCCTGGCCTGAGGGAAAAGGCATTCCCAAGGAGCTGTGTAGACAGCAATGAATTAAACAGCATTCTGGTGCTACACAGAGCATCTTCTTCCCACACAGCTCCTCAAGGCAGGAATTTCTTGCTAAAGACAGGGAGCAAGTAAATAACTGTGTGCATTCCCTATCTTCCAGTGAGAAGCTATGGTGCAAAGTAAGTCACAGGGAACTCGAGGGACAAACAGCCAGGAGCCGTGTCAGGCAAGGGAAGGGCTCGAGGATGCAGTTTTAAAATCATCTCTTGGAAGGAATTTGTCTCTTTGGAAGACACCAGCACAGATCCAGGGACAGATCCCCTCCCAGGGCAGCTGGAATGCTGCTTACACTGCTCCCTTGTTCCGAGGGCATGGAACCAGCCCTCCCACAGACCTCACACAGCCCCGCAAGCTGACATTTGTGGCTCCCTGCCACTGATCAATATTTGAACCACTCTCTTGCCAAGAGGCTCCTGGTAGGTGGGAGAGGGGTGAGGAATTCCAATAATCCTACAAGGAGCAGAGGGAAGTGTTAACAAGAAAGGGAGAAGCCCCAGCATAATCCTCAAAGGGGGCTGGTTCCCAGTAGCAGCGGGCTGGGATCCGGGAAGGGAGAGAGCAGATGGCACTCAGACTATGGGGCTATTTTTACATTTTGTTTTGAAACTCCAATCTTTAATTGCAGCAATGAACCTTCAGGGTGAGAAGGGGAACACAACAGCTTGTAAAGCCCTGCCAGTCTGCCCTGAAACACCCTTGTCTTCACACTGAATGTGCAGAGCTCAAACCAGGGCAACAATTCCTGCCCAGACTGTGGAGAGGGAATTCTGGAAACTGTTTTAAAAAACTCCAGCAGATCAGAGCCGGTTTCTGAGGGGGCCCAAATAATCACGTGGTGTCTGAACTGTAGTCAGTTCAGGTGTCAGTCAGCTCTTGGGGCTGTTGCTGAGCCAGGTATGCCCATGACCCCATGAAAAGCTGGGATGATGTCCCACATGTCCCAGGCTGTATCTTTTCCTCTTATAAGTGGAGGAAAATTTATTCCCCAGGAGACCTTGAAGTTCAAACAGGGTTTGTGAAACCTTTTGGAGTGAAAGATACTAAGAAAAACCACAGGAACTATTTTATCAACTGCAATCCACAACTTCTGGTGAGACAGACACAGTGGGATCTCCAGACTGTCAGTTCTCCATTTGCACATCAGGGCAGCCAAAGGAACAGGAGAATAAAAAGCACATGCTTGCATATTTTTGTACCAGTAATAAAACATTTACTAGAGCAAGCAGAAAGTAAATGCACATCTGATAAAGAAAACATCACAATGTCACAAAACCCTGACAGCTTCTGGTACATCTTCCAGTGGAAACGAGCCAGCGGTGGGTGCTGACATGTCCCAACTGAAAAGTCCTTCCCTACCTTGTGGCAAAAAAAAAAAAAAAAAAAGAAGAAGTCATAAATGGGAATACACACAATGAGTTAAAAATGGGCAAGCAAGATTTTACAGATTTACTACATGTGTCCAAAACAGGGCCAGATTTGAGCTGTTTCTTTTCATTAATTGTTCTCTGAGTTCTCCCTAAAGGCTTCTGAGCAACAGATCCCTGAATTTCTGAATCTTCTTCCTTTAGCCACACTTCTTGGGGGGCTCCAGCCTCTGATTGTTGTGGTCTATCTACATTGTCTTCCCTTTTTTGTTTTTAGTTTGAAGAAAGCACTCAACCCTCTCAGAACAGAGGGTGCATAGGCACAGCAGAGACACAGGTTTGCTATGCAGGCTTCCACCAGAATGAAGGATATTAGAAAACATAAGGTTCTTCCAAAGAAAAAAATATCTGGGCAATGGGATTGGAATTAAACTACTGACCACAAACAAGCCAGGGAGTCCAACCTACACTACAAGTGAATTTGTGGTTTGCTGGGATGGAGAAGGATCCCTTGAACAGCTCCATTCACACCAAACAAACAAACAAACAAACAACCAAAAAAAGAGAAAACAACCAAAAAAGTGAAACCAACTTGCTCTGCCCCACCTTCAGCAAAGCAAATTGATACATTCTTAGTTGATGGGGAGAGAGATAAGGGGTAACCTGGAGACCAAATAATTTGGGGAGAATATGTGAAAAGGAGATGGAGGAAGAACTCACCATACTGACCAAACTGCTGCAAGATTAATGTCTAACAGGCAGGTCCTGAGCATCTCTAGGTGGACTGGACTGGTTTGTAAATGTGAACGCTGGTTAAGAAAAGACTAATTTATACTTCTATGGACAACAGTTTCTTAATGTTCCAAGGATGTGGAACAGCTTATTTTTGTCAAGAAGATCTGTTGAAATCCAGCAGTCACTCAAGCACTGAATGTTTCAAAGCAGAACCAGGGGAGCTTTATCAAAATTATTTCTTTCACTAAGCATTGTGTGCATTTCATTCAGGTGAATCTGTCCGCAGATGAACTTGCACAGGGGTTCTCATGGTTTCCTTTTCCTGCCCCAGCTGCTCAACAACCAGTTACCAAAAACCCCAAGAAATCTTCTGGAAAACGACAACACTACCTGCAGAGACTCCAGCCTGTGAACCCCAGCTTTTAACTGTCCCACCGGCTCTTCTTCCGTTTTGGGGGCTCTGGGACAGCAAAACCATCTGACTTGTCTCGGCTGTTGGCCTCCTTCCTGTTCTCTCCATTCCTGCTCTCGCTGTTCCTGCCCTCGCTGCTGTTCCTGCTGTCACCGTTGTTGCGGTTGCCGCCTGGCAAGTCGGTGAAGTGCCGGCCCTCGCTGTGGCGATGGACGTCGCCGTGGCGGCCGTCGCTGTGCCGGGAGGGGTCACTGTGCCGGCCACCGCCTTCGCTCTGGCGCTGGCCCTCGTTGTAGCGCTGGCCCTCGTTGTAGCGCTGGCCCTCATTAAAGCGCTGGCCATCGTTAAAGCGCTGGCCCTCGTTAAAGCGCTGGCCCTCGTTAAAGCGCTGGCCCTCACTGAACCGCTGGCCTTCATTAAAGCGCTGGCCATCGTTGAACCGCTGGCCCTCATTAAAGCGCTGGCCCTCGTTGAAGCGCTGGCCCTCGTTAAAGCGCTGGCCCTCACTGAAACGCTGGCCCTCATTAAAGCGCTGGCCCTCGTTAAAGCGCTGGCCCTCACTGAACCGCTGGCCCTCATTAAAGCGCTGGCCCTCGTTAAAGCGCTGGCCTTCATTGAAGCGCTGGCCTTCACTGAAGCGCTGACCCTCGTTGAAACGCTGACCCTCGTTGAAACGCTGACCCTCGTTGAAACGCTGACCCTCGTTGAAACGCTGGCCCTCACTGAACCGCTGACCCTCGTTGAAACGCTGGCCCTCAGTGAAGCGCTGGCCTTCACTGAAGCGCTGGCCTTCGTTGAAGCGCTGGCCCTCGTTGAAGCGCTGACCCTCACTGAAACGCTGACCCTCACTGGAACGCTGACCCTCACTGGAACGCTGGCCCTCACTGAAACGCTGGCCCTCGGTGAAGCGGCCACCGCCGCCCTCCCCTCGGCCACCGCCGCCCTCCCCTCGGCCACCGCCGCCCTCCCCTCGCCGCGGGGCCTCGCTGTGCCGACTGTTGCGGTTGTCGTTGTACCGTTCTCTGGCGCTGCCGCCGCCCTCTCGGCTGTTGGTGCTGGCGTTCGTGCTGTTGAAGCCCTGTGCTCCAGTGCTGGGGAACGGGGGCACGCTGCTCAAGCTGCCCGTGCTGGTGAAGCCCGGGACTCCCTTTGCTGCCGCGGTGGCTGCCACGGGGCTCTCGGGATTGGCGGCGTTTTGCTGCGCTGAACTCGTCGGGACGGAGTTCAGGCTCCCTGCACTGGTCCAGCCACTGGCACCAGCAGCAGAGCTCCCAGTCTTTTGGTTATTTAAACTTGCAGCGACAAAGTGACTTTTGTACTGAGACTGCAGGAAAGGGAGAGACAAAAGAGAACAGGTTTGGCTCTGTGCTGCCCCACGGAACACGAAGGCATCGTGTGTTCACAAGCCCACCTTGAATTTTGGGGCAACAGAATTCCTAGAAAAAGTCAGTCTTGGAGTGATTACATTCCTCCTGTGCTTATGGACAGAGTTAGTAACAGGCACCTCCTACCACACAACACCAACGAGAGAATTCTTACATTGTGGGGTTAGTTTTTACACTGAAGAGAAAGAGCTTCTGATTCCCCTTTTGATTGCAGTTACACTACTGCTACTAAGCAACCTCAATAGAATCCTGCCCAGGTGCAAAATCCAGAAAGAAAGAAGAGCAAAGAGGCAACAGAAAACAAAGTAAGTTTGTAAATTTGTGCAAATGTGTTCAGTCCAGCCTGCACCTAATTCCACCACTTGGGACTGTCATGCTGAGTGTGCTCTAAGTGACACAGCCACAACCACCACCCTCAGCTTCCCTGAAATTACAGGGCTGCTGCATTTTCAGGGGAGAAAAGGAGTCCAAGCATGGAACCAACCTGGAAAGCTGCTTTCATTGCTGTCAGCCTGTCCCCCATGGCCCCTGTGGATGGCTTGTAGGCCTCATAGTTGCTCATCACACTGTTGTTGTTTCCACGGTCCTGTGTGAAATCACAAAGGGCAACTGCAGAGGTTTATTCCACATAGACACACTCAGTTCAACCACTGTTCACATTCATCCTGTCCCTGCACTCAGGAAATACATACACTAAGGATGATAGACTTCTGGAGAGCCCTGAGCAGTGGAACAGTTTGCTCCATTTTTTTTTTTTTTTCTGCCAAGAATCAGACTGGAAATGGCTGGAAATTTTTAAGCAATTTATTAGCATTCATTTTACAGCAACAGTCTACTTTATGAGGAATCTCCAAACCTTCTGGATCACTCTAGCTCTAAAAAAAAGCAGCTCTTAACAAGAGAAGAAGAGCACAGGAGACTTTCACTTGAGATATATGATCCAAACTCTGAAAGATGCTGAGCTATGAGAACTTTTAAAGCAGACACTGTAATCCAGTACCAAGATTTTTTAAATTAAAGAGTAATCAATACTAAGTGAAAAAGTTCCAAGAATCTGTGAATGACCTCTTCAGCATCTCTACTTACAGTATTTTCTGAGCCCAGCCCGGGGCGTTCACGGTATCCCAAGCCACCACCACCAATATTCAGCTTCTTGCCCTTCCCTCCTTTAAAACGGGATTTCCGGAACCACGGATTCTGTAAGAGAAGGACAAATGTTTCTCAACACAGGGAATAAAAATCTTCATAAACGCATGTCATGAGGCTGAGAGAAACAGAATACTGAGCATTTCAAAAGACAAATGTAAATACTGTTTTCCATTTAACCACACAGCTGCTGTAGGCAGTTGTGGCATGTGGGTCTGATCCTTTGAGTTGCAAATGCTCTCTATGAAAACTAATTTTACACCTTCAACTCTCGTTCACGCTACGGTTTTGGGGGTTTACATTCCAATAAATCCAGGAATAAACACAATTTCCAATGCCATCACTTGGGAGCTCCGCTCTTGCTCATACTTTGGTTTCACTGATTTAGCTAAGGAGAAATGAGAGTCTGTCAGCAAAACTTTCTGTACCAAGCAGTGGCCAGGGAATGTCAGCCCAAACAGACCTGCTGTTTTATTATTTAAACCTGGTGTTTAAATAGGAGTTGGCTGCACCTCTTTTTATGTCCTACAGTCTCTCCAAGTGGGAATAAGTCAATTGTCTTCCTACAAACTCCTCTCAAAGCGGTCAGGGGAGCTCTGCCTCACTAATTCTGTCCCTTCTGAAAATGCTGCCTGTGTGAGAAAAAGAATTTACTTTTGGCAGCTGCTGTCCAAGCTACTTGCTAATGTGTCCACAGGCCTGCTAATCCATCTCTGAATCTGGGAGTTGCCAAATTCCCAGATTGGCAACTGGGAATTGCCAATTGGGCTCTCTTGCAGCTATATAGACAGCAAAAGACAAGAATTAAAGAGTTGATAAGTTCAGTGGCACAAGCACGATTGCTGCAGCTACCTGTCATACCCGTATATTGCAAACCTGCCAGAGAGCACTGGCAAGCAGGTGGAATGATCAAGCAACTACCCTTTCCCAGAGGGAATGTCCCTGTAATTGTTTTCTAGTTTAGCTTCCAACTAAGCTGCATCTCCCAGGTGCCTGCTATAAATCTGACTGTAATGAGACACTGGAATGCTCTGCTGGCATCAGCAGATTACAGCTCCTAATTTCCTAGGCAGTGCCTGGCCCCAAAATAGATCACATACTGTGTTAGAAAATATTCATGGATTCTTTCAAAGGCCATTAAAACACTAGGACACCTACTTCAAACCAGGACAGATCCCCAAAAGCTCACTGCTAACACATGATGGAGCCAGCAACATGAGCTGGCTGATTTTGTGCTGAATCTGGAGTGAAACCTCCTCACCTTAAGTTTTGCTGGTTCATACCTGCATTGCCAAATCCAGCAGCTCTTTGGAGACATGCTGGTTGGCACCCTCCAGGTTTCTGACGAGGTCACCAGCGAAGTTGCTGTCCTTGGGGGTCAGCAGAGTGTAGGCCACTCCCTTCTCCCCTGCGCGGCCGGTGCGGCCGATCCGGTGCGTGTGCGTGTCGATGTCCCGAGCCACGTCGTAGTTGATGACAGTCTTGATGGAAGGGATATCCAACCCTCGAGCTGGAAGAAAGAGCAACATGGTGGGAAGTGTCATTATCCCCAATTAACTCTGAGCAATTCCTCTGGTACCAGGGTAGCGCCTGCTCTGGTCCTGCGGGCAAAAGGAACATCAGCTGATGAATGAACAGCAATCACTTCCTTAAGACACAGCTTTACTTTCTGTACATTCAAAAATGTCAGGCTGTAATTTAGGCATCATTAAGAGACTAAAAATAACCCCCCTTGCCAATGCCATTTACTGCACAGGCACACAGTGAGATTCTTGGGGGTGTCTGTGCAGGGCCAGGAGTTGGGCTCCATGATCCCTGTGGGTCCCTTCCAGCTCAGGATATTCCTTGGTTCTGAAAAGCACCTGGAAAACAGTGTCCTGCAGGTGCAGAAACCAACCTGGCTGCCTTCCACTGAAACATGCTTGCCTTTCTGCAGATACCCACAGCCTGTCTGAGCTGCCTTCCAGAAGGTCACGTACCTGCCACATCAGTAGCTACCAGGATGGGGATCCCCTTTTTCTTAAATTCCGAAATGACTTTATTCCTCTCACTCTGGTCCATGTCCCCATGAAGCAGCCCTAGGTTATGATCCTCCTGCTTGAGGTTATTGGCCAGTTCCTCTGCATTGGCTTTCTTGGTGACGAAGAGGAGGACGCTCCCCGAGGACGTGAACTCCACAAGGCGCCGCGTCAGCCAGTTCCACTTGCTGGGCCCAGAGGGGAAAATCTCCACAATCTGAGTGACATCTTCATTGGCCTAAGGGGAGAAATGTCCTTAGGGTCAGCAAGGTAGGAGGCATACACAGACTTCCCACACGTTCTGCATCACAAGTAATACAGTGCAGTGCAGCTTATAGCACTACCTGCAAGATTGCTCTGAAAGATTTCATTTTTACACATTTTAATATTATTTCAAGGATGATGCTCCCATTACAGAATGATAGTTTATATCAATGAATAGAGGCCCTGTGATTGAGCTGTAAAAGCTGGTGCTTTTCTTGAGCAAAATCAAGGAAAATTTTTCACAGAAAGAAGGGGCTTCAAGCAGTCTTATATTTTTGTTATAAAGGGACCTGATGTAAAAACCAAAAAATATAGAGAACTGGTTGAAAGAAGGATGTTCTGAAGGCACATTGTGAAATTTCTCAACAGTTTCAATATATTATTAGCAAAGTTTCTTTCCACCAAGTTTATATCTGCCCACGTCATCAGCTTCCTACTAGATCCCAGCCTGCTGATAGTTCAGCTGTCACTGTCAAACAAGTCCAGCATCAACATTCCCATGTAAACCATAGGACAGAGATTTTAACTTTCAAATTCTTCACTGCATGAGCTCAATGGCTTTGTTTATGCTTTTGAGACAAAATTGAAAGATACAACCATTGATCCAGCCTAATAACAAAAATAAACCACCACATTTATGTTCTACTCCTTGATGAAACCTCCCAACACTGCAGGAATATTTTTTGAAAGGTCAAGATATAAATAGAAACCCACTATTTCCAAAACTTTCTATTTTTGCTAAGCACAAATTACTTAAAACTAACTATAAATGATGAGTCTTGCAGTTTAACTTAAATTTCAGAGAACTGAACAATTCCTTGCTCTGAGTGTCTCACAAGTATTATGGAATTACCTCTCCGATGTCTCCTTGCACAACCCGAATTGGGTCGATCAGAATATCCCGAGCCAATTTCTCAATCTTCTTACGGAATGTGGCACTGAACAAGAGGGCTGGAAGAGAAACAGGCTTCAAATGCCTTGAAGTAGAAACTTCCTTTCAGAACTGTAAAAACACTGCACTGATGTTGTAAAGGAGGACCCGGATTCCTGAGTGTCAGTGAACTGAAGCTGAGGTTTTATGGGCTCTAATGGAAATTACCAACCACTGTTAGAGTACCATGAAATGGAAACACATTTCATAGCATCTGGAATATGGATAATACAGGGTACTGCTGTGAGCTTTCTCTCATGGCAGCTCAGAACACCGAATTTAAAGGCATATGAACATGAATTCAGCTAATCATCTTTGCTCTGAGTGCAGTCGGTGGAGGGATTACAGAGAGATGAGCTGAATGCTCACATGTCACAACTGCTCCCTCCCAACAGCCCACGCTGAGAATAACACCAGTGGCCTTTGGCACAAGTCTCCTGGTGTGGCTGTGCCCAGAACTGGAAAGCCAAGCTCTGCTCCAGACTCACTGTTTACTCACTCTGTCTGTCAGGACGTACATGGCTTGCGATCGATCTGACCTGATATTCTGCAAAGGAGAAGAAATGCTCTAATTAACCCTGTAAGCTCATAGCTTAGAAAAATTAAGTCAAAATGCAGTTTCATTGCTTTATTTAACATATAATCACAGAAGGAATGAGTGCTTCTTACTCATTATTTAATTTTACAGGCCCCCCCTAAGCTGAGACTGGGCATCACTGCTTTCCAACACAGTGACTTTGGATGAATACGTACCAAACCCCATATCAAACATTCTGTCAGCTTCATCAAACACAAGGTAAGTGACTCTCTGCAGATTTGTAGCTTTCTTTTTCACATGATCAATCAAACGACCCTAGGAAGAAAAGACTTTTTTTAAAGCACCAGTTTTTAAAGCAACAATTTTTAAAAAAAAACTGTTTTTAAAGCACCTTACAAAAAACATGTTAATTTATACAACTACCTAGCTGCTTTTCATCCGGACTTAGCAGAGACTTAGAACAGAAAATATCACAAGGCTTCAGTCTAGAATGAAATGTCAATATTCACCTCATAGGAACAGATTCTTACAACTTTTTTCAAGTTGAAGAGTGCAAACCCCTGGTTTTGGTGCACACAGGTACTTACTGGTGTGCAGACCACGATCTCTGCCCCCTCCTGCAGGGCCTTGGCTTGCTCCCACATGCTCCCTCCTCCGTACACGGCCACGGAGCGCAGGTTGTAGGCCTTGCCAAAGCGCTTGCACTCGGAGTGGATCTGCAGGTGTGACACAAACACAGCACAGCTCACATCAGACAGCTGAGACAACACACCAACCCTGGAAATGCAGCGTGGGGCCTCAAATGCGCTTTTCAGCTACCAGCTTAATTAAATGATTCGGAACTCCTCAGGGGTGAATACTCTGACACATGGATAATTTCCAGTAACTTGAGAAAACTACTTAGGCATCCAACAATAATTTAACCTGCAGGCTCTATCCTTTTGCATACACAATTTGTCACAATGTATACACAGCATTCTTATACCTAAAAATAATGTAGGAGCATGGTGCAAAAATTAAAAATGTTAGGTTTGTCATGATTCTTCAAGAAAACGATGGTAAGAAAGAGCTGTGAGCTGGACCCAGGCTACTCCTGCACAAAGTAGTTATTTCAAATAGTTTCCTGAGGTTACCTGGTAGTTTCTGCCACGAATTTTGCCTCCTTCTCCAAGCAGACTGGCTGGTACACACAGGAACGCTGCGCACCTACCTGCTGGCAGAGCTCCCTGGTCGGGCAGACGATCACTGCAATGGGACCATCCCCTGGCTCAAGCTCCTTCTGATCCATGATGTGGATCAGCATTGGCCAGATGAAAGCGGCTGTTTTCCCACTTCCAGTCTTGGCTATCCCAATCATGTCTCTGCCACTTAGTGCCACTGGAACACCCTAAAAAGAAGGTGATTGGAAGCCCACATTACACCCAGTCTAGCACATCCTTGTGCTAGACAATACAGGAAAACTTGGGTAATGAGGAAAGCCCAAGACAAAAAAACCCTGAACCCTTTTTTTTCATACATTTCTCTAGGCAAGAGACATCACTTGAATATTCTTCATTCATCAAAAAGAGCAATGAAAAAGGAATATGGATATATTTACAGTGGTCATTCAACAAAGAAAAAAGTGGGAAACTTCTATTTAAAATACACCAAAGCCATTTTTCTAGAAAAACACACTCTGCAGGCAACTAGAATTGCATTTGTCTCCTCCTCATGTGGAAGAGGGAGCTTTGCATGTGTTATTTTTGTTCTCTTTACAAGTTTGAGAAGTAACAACACTCACCTGACATTGTATTGGAGTGGGTTGGGTATACTCAGATTTCCTAATCTGATGCATAAGTTGCTCATCAAACCCAAAATGAGCAAAACTACTGCCAGGTCTTGGAGGAGCAGCCCCGGAGACCTTGGGAAAAGAAAAAGATCTTTGTTCATGAACAGTGAGAGATAAACAAAGAGCAATCTGTTAAAAACAAACAAACAAACAAAATGGGTCTCTCTGCCTCTGAAAAAGAACTACACTTTTTGTGTGGACAATAAATTTAACTGGGTGCAAATTCCAGATGTGTTGTGTAAAAAAGACTTTCAGGTATAAAAATTTAATTATCTGTCAATAACATGAGCATAAAATAAGTTACTAAATCGTTTTTACCTCCTTGTATCTTACTGATGTTCTACCTCAAATAATTCCCTTCACAGAAAGTCACCCACTAACACATCAGAAATGGTGAAGAACTAATTTCTGCATCTATTTCCAGTTTTAACTCCTAGCTCTGGAGGTCTTTAGCCCAAGTAGCACTCCTCACTGCCCACTTCCACAAATCCATAGGAGACTTCCAAGAAATCAATGTCACTGAAGGTGTCTGAGAGGACTGGATTCAAAAGCTGGAGTTCCCAGTGAAAATTTTCATTTAAATTAAGATAGTTTAGGCATTAAAAGCTGCTGGGAGAGCAGTTTGTGGCCAGCTTACCCGGAGATTCAGCTTATGCCGTAACTCCACCACTTGCTGTGGGGTCAGGCTGGTGATCTCTTCATGCTCATCATAGAAATTTTTCTCAAATGGTGGGTATTCAATCTGCAATGCAATTAATTCGTTACTCAGTTAGTCCAGACTCAAGATTCCTTTTTTTCTGAAGTTCTTAACTGTCTGACAGAACACTTGCTTAAATGAAGCCATTTCACGGAAATTTAGTATGACTTACCTAAGAAAGCACTGAAATATTACAGGGGCCCCTCAGCTCCTGCTTTCTGGAATGCCTCAAACAGAACAGAACAGAAGTCCCTCCTACCTCTGAATGGTCAATAGGTGGAAGAGGATCAATGATTTTTTTGGACGGTGCAATTGGATTCCCATCACTATCATACTCCAGGTTATCCTCTTCCTCCTCTTGTACCACACCAGCAGTGGGGTTCTCAGCCATGTAGCGAAAATACGCTTCCTGCAGCAAAACAGATCAGCAAACTCACATACAATAGGATGCAAAAGTACTTCTTTTTGTTGAAGTGATGTATGTGCTAAGTGGCTGTTTGCTTTCACACTCACTACTGAGGAAAAAGGTAACTACTTTCACTAGAACTAATTCTTGTAATAAACACCAACAGATAGATCCTGAAGGACAAGAAGTACAAATGAAGAAAACAACTCCAGTGTCAGATACACCACAAAATGCTCCTAAAAGCCAAACTTGTCTTGTGTCTGCTTAACAGCTCCTTCTACCAAGTCTTGTTATGTTTAACAACAGAAGGATCTATTCTTATTTCCACATGAACAAAGCACAAAGAACACTGCAGGTTTCTAAACAGAAAACACATTGTTACTAAGCATATGGTATTGACTTTTTTAAACATGCTATGCCAAAGATAGTTTCTTTACTTCCCTTAATTAGACTTCAGGAGATGAACAGATATCTATCTTTCATTGAGAGAATCATCAACAAATGTGAAAGAAAGTATTTCAGAAGAGTCCTTCAAGACAAGCCCGAGTTAAGACAATGTCACCCTGTCACGTGAAGCAGCCCCAGGTTGCTCACAAAGATGTTTGTGTCTCTCAGATTCTCACTGGCTCAAACTCTGGCACAGCTACACTGACCACACTAGAAACAGAGACCTTCAAGGCCAGACAACCATGCTAAGCTCTGCATTAATGCAAGTAACACAAGTGTTAGTAACTACAACTCAGTAGGAAGATCCATTTTGAAATTAAGTTTTTTCTCTTTATTATTTCTGCTACAGTGATACTTATGCAGCTCAATGAGAACTGGAGCTTCTCTGAAACCAGGGATCAAAGAGCCTGATTCTTGCCCTGAACAGACCCCACATTTCACTGCAAGGAGCCTCCACAGTCCAACAGCCTCTCCCTGGTGTCTGCTGGAGATGATTGTGCTAATTGCAATGTGTAAGATCCTCAGACACTGAACAATCTGTATAGGAAAATTAAGTTCTAACTGACTTGAAAAAATCTTCTTCAGTGAATGCAATTGTCTAATATTCTTCTTAAACACCTAGGAGGGTAGAGACAGCAGGGTAACCACTACAGCTTCCTGCTGAATTGTCCAGATACTGCGCAGGACACTGGAATTTTGTTTGTCCCTAGCAGTTATGTGTTTGGAGAGGAAAAGTTAAAAATACAAAACAACAAAAAAGAAGATAGAAAGACTGCATAGGAACTCACTTGGTCATCTTCCTCTTCAATGTCATCTCGAATACCCCTGGAAAAACAAGCGGAGAAAAAACTTCCCTGCAAGTGTTCCACAGACTCAGCTCAATAGTTTCATTTGATTAGTGCTGAGCTCCAGATTTCGTGGAAGACACAACACTATTAACTCGGCAACATTTATATTCCCAACCCATGGAGTTTTCATATCTGGTGCCAACCATAGCAGTGACCCTGGAAAGACTTCTCTTTATTTCTAGTACTGAGACTGAAAGATTAGGATTCCATCTTCCCAGCAGAAGCCACATCAAAGATCATCCTGGTCTAAGCTCTTGATACTACAGAAGTCCCATAACTGAAGAGGAATATGAGCCAGAAAGTGCAAATCCAGTTCAGAACTTCCCCAGGTGGTGATTTGGATCCGGTGTTTTGTGTCAGGACCATGCATAATCTAATCAATTCCATGCAATGTAACTTCTACCAATATACCTGACACGTCTATCAAGAATCAACAGCATAATTATTTTCCTTAATCAAAACAAATAGATAAGCTGCACGAATTTAAACTGTTTTAAACTCCAAATGTAGTACCCTGATCATCATGTGCTACCTAATCTATCAGCTTTAATATCTAAAACCTAGTCCAAGTTTAGAAGAGTCTCCAGTAGTCCAGGTACAGCAGCACTGAATTATTTTGCTCACAGAAATGCAATTTTAAGCTAAACCATTCTGATCTCTCCAAGGCTGTTGGAAGCAGAAAAACTATCCAGGCTGATCTGGAAAGTGGCAGGAGTACAACGTGTTGCCCCGATTTCTGTGACCTAGAAAGGCTTCTCGCGTGGGAGGACTCTCAGTGTTCTTGCAGTTTGCCATAGGATGCTGCCATGGATTCTTCCCTATTATCCTATTTTTACAGCATCTCATGCACAGGTTACTGACCATCAACAAAATGCACTGGGATTCTCTGAGCACCACACAAGACAAGGCAGGCATGGGAATGATAAAAGAGAACTTACTTAACGTTCTTTTTTTCTTTGTCTTTATCTTCCAGTCTCTTCATATCTCGAGCAGCTTGATCCTAGCAGGTCATAAAGTTGTCACATGTTAAAAAGACCAAGATCGTAAAACATGGGAGGGAAATATGTTCCTGAATAATTAAACCATTATGTCAGAGAGACAACACTTCTTGGACTAATCTTCATCTTGTTCTGTATCTGATTATGCTAAATAAATTCTCCTACTATTATAATTTATATAGTATATAAACTATATATTGAGTTTATATACTACTCTAAGCTTGTGACAGTGCCATTGAAAAAATAATTTCCCCATATTCTTCCTGAATCCAACTAATAACAGAACTGTAGCAAAAAATCAGCTCATCATAAATACAATTTCCATTTCGGTAGTGAAAAACACAGAAAACCTTAGTTTGATATTCAGAAACAAGCAGAGCTCTATGTTGTATTGTTCTGACATTCTCAAAGCAGTTACACAGTTATTGTAAGTGATATCCACTCTCTGTCTATCTAATTTTTGAGGTCTAACTAACACTGCAAAGTTAAGTGGCATTTTGACTGCAGCTGCCAAAGCCCTGAGTGACATTTGCTGCCCCTGACTGCACACAGGTACAGCCACAGCACTCAATAAACATCCCCCAAACTGGCTCTTGCCTCCACTTCAGCCATGAATGCCTCCAGAGGATCATCATCGCTGTCGGAGTCCGCCGATTTGGAATGGAACTGCTGCCGGGTGGGGGAATTCTCTGCAGGAATGTAGGGCAATTCCACATTGCTGGAATCTTCCTCTTCATCCTCAAAATACCTGAAAAAAGTGATCAACAGCCCAGTCAGCACATGGCTTACAGCACTGTGCTGTCTTTCATGGTTTTGGGTTGAGTCAAGGTACTCACATGGACAACAGAAGTCAGTATGGACACAAGAGAAGATATCGAGATTTATTTATTTACAATTATTCATGTTAAAAGTTCAAAGTGATGGCAGGGCAAAGAGATATAATAAAATCGAGTCTCTCTTCATCTTTCTTGTAGGCTCCCTTTAGGTACTGGAAGGCCACAATTAGGTCAGCCCCAAACTTCTCCAGATGAATAATCCAAATTTTCTCTGTCTTATTTATACATTTAGGCAGCCAAGAGACAGGTTAGTAAAGAACTGTGGAGATCAATGTTTTCCTGTGCAAAAGACAGCCCAATTTATCCTACTTGGCTCCAACTCTGAGAACACCATAGAGTGAATAAAATATGTTCTCTAGAGGGGAAAGCTGGAGGAGGAAAGCTTCTGCAGGCTACCATAGCATCTCAAAGTCTTCTAAGTATATTATTCTGTATTTGCTTATATAAATGTCACAGATACTTCCTCTGACCTCAGAAACATAAAAACATTAAAATCTAGAGCTACATAAACACAAGAAGTAACCGTACTTACGCATTCTCCTCATCAAAATTGGCTCTCTTTGACCCAATTTTGTAGAAGGAAGGCAGCTGAGGAGGCCCCGATTTCGCAAATGCTGCCGAGGAGCCGGCGGTGCCGAAAGCACTGTGGGACTGCTGAGACAGCTTGGGCTCCTCTTTCTTGCCAGGTGTTATGGCAAAGCCACCAAACCCAAAGCCTCTCTTTGTACCAGGTCCACCTTTATTCCAATTCATGATGTCCCTGATATACCTGTTAAAACACGAAAGGACAAATCAATGCTCTTTCTGATTCAGGCAGTTATAGGTAATTGTCATGATTTTTCTTGTTAGTTGGTCACTTCAGTCATGACACAGGGACTCGTGGAACACTGAGTGACAAGAGTTTAATCTGTTTCCCAAAAAGGATGGGGCTCTGGTCTTTTGTCAGTATGAATACACCCACAATTCCAAAGAGGACCAAAAACAGAGTGGTTGTCTTCCAGAACAGATTGTGTCCTTCAAGGATTACTTAAATACATTTAAGACGTTACCTGTCCTGTTTGCAGTCTAAGACAAACAAACCCAAGGCCAGAACGTTTAACACCAGGAAGAAGAAGAGATGAAAAGGCAGCTCAGCATATTCTGCATGTCCACATTGTGGCATCTGTAAGTGTCTCATGGCTTGTCAATACCTCACTGCAGCAACCCAGCAGCCTCCAGAGAAATGGGCCCAGAGCAGCACAAAGTCCCGTGTGAGCCCCGGCACATCTCTGCCAAAGGCCAACTCCCCTTCCTCTCAAACCACCTTCAGCCACACGTCTCTATTTGTTATACATATACATATTGATATGCTCCCCAATCTCTGTTTTTCAAACAATATTTTAAACACTCCACATAACAGTGTCTGCCCAGAACTTGATTTTTTAAGATGATGACTGAACTGATATACTAATATTTACAGTTTCCATTCTTGAGTCATTTAGTTACCTGCATGGTCAAGCAAATCATACCTGTAAGGCAGGAAAGAGAGCAAGACACTCACAGCTTTCCAATGCATTATAATTGACTGTCCAAAGGCTACAAGTCTTATTAAACAAATCCTCACACTGAGAATCTTCAGTGAGATCAGAACTCACTGGCAAAAAAATAACTTCAAAACAATCTGAAGGTAAATAGTGCAGCCAGTCCCTGTGCTGAACATTTACCAGCCTGGGGCTTGCTCAATAAATCTCGAGTCAAGACCAAAGCTCAGGAGTAGATTTCGGGGTAAACTGCTGTTCAGCTCTCCACGGCAGCAGCTGACCATGGAGTCCTGTTTTCCCTCTTGTCCTGACACCCTGTAGCTTTTACACTTGTGGATCCGTAGCACTGGGAGATCAAAAAGTACAATAGAGGGGTGTGAGGTGGAACCGCATTTCGGCTGCGACAGCACAGTGGGAACCTTTGAAAACTGTTAAGTTAAAATCTGATTGTAAGAATTCTTCCTCACTGTACTTATCCACCTTTTTTCCCCCTCCGCCACCTCAAAAAATAAGGAGGAGCACTTTTTTATTGTCATACAGCAGCAGAAGTACAAAACACGGTCAGTTCGCCCACTCGCCAGCAGCGAGCGAACAGGGAGAGGTTCCCACAGGAGACTACGGGAACACCCCGGGGGTTCCGCTGCCCGAACCTCGCGGGACGCGGACCCCGAGAGCCGCGGGCACGGCGCCTCCGCCGCTCCCGGTCCAGGGGAAGGGCGGCGGGATCCCCGCCCGCGGGATCGCCGTCCGCAGGGCCGGCAGGGACCGGGGCCGCGGGCAGGCCCTGTCCGGCACACCGGGCCCTGCGCGGGGCCCTTCCCGCCGCGGACCCGCGGTGCGGGGCGGGCCCTTTGTGCGGGGCAGGCCGGGGCTGCCCGCGCCCGCTGCAGGCCGCGCCTACGGCGGGTGCCGCCCGCCAGAAGCCCCGCAGGCCGGCGAGGGAGGCTCTGGCCCGGCCCCACTAGCCGCCCTCCCCTCAGCACCCGCACTCACCGCCGCCGCCGCCGCCACTTCCCCGGTTACCGGGGCGGGGGTGGGGACGGACGCACCGACGTGCCCGCGCGCCGTGCGTCAGTGACGCGCGTGCCGCGGCGCACGCGCAGCGCCCGCCGGTGAAGCGGCGGGCAGTGAGGGCCCTGGGACCGGGCAGAGGCGGGCGCGGGACCCCGGCAGCGAAACCCACGGACGGTACCGCCAGGGCGGCCCCGCGACCGCGCTGCTTCCCCGGTGGGTCCGGGGTGATTCTCGGGTGGTTCCCGCGCCGCAGGGTTGGGCCCCCCCGCCCACTCGTGGGTATCCGCACACCCCCGCACATGCGGCGGGGCCCGCACCGCGCAAGCGCCCCGGTACGGCGGGCGCGGAGCGGAGCGCGGGGCCCGGCCCGTGGCTCGGGTAACGCGGTCCCGGCCCGTGGCTCGGGTAACGCGGTCCCGGCACGGTCCCGGGAGGGGCAGCCTGGCGCGGAGGGCACCGGGCGTGTGCGGCCTGTGCTGCGCCCCGCGGGAGGGAGGAGCGGCCGCGGGCTGGGCTGTGAGAGGGGCTGCGCCCAGGCCGGCAGGTCGCTGGTTTTATCTGGTTCACCTTGACTTGTGCTCCGGGAAGGAGCGGCGGGATAACGAACACCTCGGGGGGTGTCCCCGCTTCGGGCGGGGGTCACGGTGAGGGCCCGACCTGCCGGGGACGGGCGCTCCTCCGAAATTCTGCCACCGAGCTCGAGATCTGCTGAGCTAGCCCGAGCTGTGCATGTTCAGCACAGGCAGCAGCAGTGCTTGCCCTCGGACTGTTGAAGTACTTTCTCTTGCCAATGGGTTCTGCGCAGCCGGTGTGGAGATCGGAGAATGAATCGGTTCCTCTTGGAAGGGAAAGTCGTGCTGGTCGTGGAGGGCCTGCCGAGGATATTCTGCTTCCTGGAATTTGAACTTGGAAGCCATTCTGGCAGATTGCTGACCTAAGGGGGTGCTCCAGCTCTCACCACCTTTGCTTCAACTGAATCCTTCGAATTGGCTGCAGAAGTTTATTTTGCATTAAGCTGTTTGCAATTGTTGGGTCTTCTGAAGGTGGATGTGCTCAGATAGTCTTGGAGTTCTTAATGTCAAATGTTAGTGTTTGGTCGAGCAGGTGGCTCTGTTGCCCTGTTGTTTTTAACAGCGTGTCAATTCTGTCCTATCGAAATAGTATTTTGGGGTTTTTTTTCTGCTTAAATTCACATAAAATTGTGATGTTCCCACACAATGTTCCAAATTCCTGGGCTCTGCCTTGCTGAACTTTCCATCCTGATTAAGGTTCTGTGACCATGTTCTGTGAAGGTTTTTGCTGGAGTGATGGGTGTTTGACAAAGGTGTTTATTTTAGTTGTCCTTGTCATTCATAGCAGTGGGTTCCCTGCATGAGGCACTCAGAGGAATGCTGGTCAAATTTAGAAACAAATCATTTCTATTCTAAGTTTGTGAGAGAACACTCTGATTAACATTCAGGTTCCCACTCGGATCTGGTTGCGGGAGGGAGTAAAATGAGCCTGACAGCAGAGCCTGATGCAGCTGATCCTCTGTCCTGGTTGTGAAGTGCAGCTGGGGGTTGTTGCTGCCTTTTTTGGTCCTTGGAGAAGGTGCTCCAACCTCAAGGGGAGGTTGGGACTGTTTTGAACTCAAGCAGAAGAGACAGGAAGCTGAGGGCAAAACAAGGTGAACTGTCAAACTCTGCAGGGTTCTGGCCGATGTGGGGAGAGCTCTGGGCTCGTGAGCCCCAGTTTACTCCTTTGTTCTGGGGAGCAGTGCAATATCTGTCCTCTTTGGGTTTTTTTTGGCACAACTTCCAACAAAAGGTCTTTGTCTCTATGCAGAAATCATGATGGGACACTGTGGGAACTTAGTTTTGAGTGTGCAGCCTAGAAAATCACAGACGAACACTTTTGGACTAGCAGAGACTATCAGAGCACTGCTGTTTAAATGAATCAAGTGCATTTTAAGATTTACTGCTGCTGTTACACATTCAATGCTCTGACTGTGCCTAATTGCTAATTAATAACAACTGTAGACACAGAACGTGGTCTTGGAAGTGAGCTGGCTGGGAGATTCTATTGGAGAGTCAGTTTTGTAGCAGAACATCCCTGCTTTCCATCTCAGCTCATTCGAACAGTGTGGCCAGATGTGAATTTGCTGCTGCAGAGTCCAGCACCTCTCCTTCAGAGCTGTTTCATTCTTGTACCAGTAGTCGCTTTCTTTATAGAGAAGATGGCAAGATCAGGCACAGGTTTATTTCTCTTTTGGTCTGACTCGTAGTGTTTTCAAATTGTGCATTGTGGGTTGGGGATTACTGGAGGTGTGATGTAACAGAATTGATGAGGACTTTTTGCAATGACTGATTTAAATTTTTTTTTCCAGTGAAAATGAAGAATTTGTATATTTTTATCGCTGTCCTGTTCATCCCATGGAGCTTTTCTTTGGCAAAGTATGATGAATTTGAGGATGGAGATGACATTATGGAATATGATGATAATGACTTTGCTGAATTTGAAGATGTGAGTGAAGATACAGTCACAGAGTCTCCTCAAAGGATCATCACTACAGAAGATGATGAAGAAGAAGCCACTGTAGAGCTTGAAGGTCAGGATGAAAATCAGGAAGACTTTGATGATGCGGACACACAGGTAAGGCCTTGCTTCCTTCCTCAATGTGTTTCCTAATAGTGTCTCTGTGCCCCTCTTTCTCTTTGTGGATTTTATTTGCTAGGCTTTGGATTTTCATGCTGTTTGTGATTTCGTCCTTCAGGAAGGTGACACCGAGAGTGAGCCGTACGATGATGAGGAGTTTGAAGGGTATGAAGAGAAACCAGACGCATCTCATAGCAAAAATAAAGACCCCATAACAATAGTTAATGTAGGTATAACTGTTGATCCAGTGTCTATTTGGAGTTTCATCATTTATTTTCCTAAGACAGTATGCTAGGAATGTCACTGGGGTACTAAACAATGAACACTGTGTGTTTTTAGCTTGTTTGTGGCTTAAGTGTCAGATTAGAACTGGTCAACTCTGTTGGTTTTTGAACGTAATCTCTCAGCCCACCCTGCATCACCTTTTTGCCTCCCAAAATAGTCTTTCACAGAATGATCAGGTGCTCAAAGTCTGCATTTTTATTACCCCTGAGATCTCTTTTTAGGTATTATAGCTGACCTTGGCAGTGAAAGTTAACATTTGGTTAACTGTACACTCAAAGGTGGTACAGTGATAGCAGAATGGCTAATTAGCCTCTGAGGTGGCAAGGTCAGGAAGGCTTCCCTGCTGCCCCATGGAGTCTGTGGCTCTTGCTGGCATCCTGAGAATGTTCTTGGGCATTGGGTGTTTGGATTTGCAAAGAAGTTACATGATGCTCAGATAATGGTGTGATGGACAGGGTATCGAGCTCAAATGCTCAGTGAATTGAAGTGCTGGACTGTTTACTCTGAGGGATGTGTGCTAGCCCAGGCTCACTTGGAAGTGAGTACTTCTTTTGTATTAAGCAGGTATTTTGGGACTGCTGTTATCAGTTGTTTCCTGTAGGATTACTGTGCCCCAGTAAGCCAAGTGCTTTCTGTAGGCTTAGCTCTCTCTTTTGTGGAGCTTATTGCTGTGTTGGGAATGGAACTTCTCCACTACTCAAATTTCCCAAATTTTTGTGTGTATAAAACCCACTTGTTCAATATGTAAATCACAGCTTCTGTTCCCTTACACAGGTCCCTGCTCACCTTCAAAACAGCTGGGAGAGTTATTACATGGAGATCCTGATGGTAACAGGCCTCCTGGCTTACATCATGAACTACATCATTGGGAAGAACAAAAACAACCGCCTGGCTCATGCTTGGTTCAACACTCACAGGGAACTGCTAGAAAGTAACTTTGCTCTTGTTGGTGAGTTCCATAATGACATGGATCTGGTTTTAGTATTTGAATAAAGCTGGGCTTAGTCTGGCATTAGGCTGTTGAGAATCCTTCTCTGTACTGTGGTATCGTGAGCTGTAAGCCTTCTGCTGAAATGTGGTGTCTCAGTTTGTGAGGTTTAGATTGCAGTTCTTTCACTGTTCCTTTCCTCAGGGGATGACGGCACTAATAAAGAAGCTACAAGCACTGGGAAACTAAATCAAGAAAATGAGCACATATATAACTTGTGGTGCTCTGGAAGGGTGTGCTGTGAAGGAATGCTCATCCAGTTAAAGGTAAGGATGAGGCAGTTTGTGGTGCTGTTTACGTGTCACCAGTTGTCAGGTTCTAGAGGCTTTCCCATTCCTGTGTGGGCAACATGGAATCCCAGCTTGGCAAGTGTGATCAAATGCAGACACAGAGTTCTGAGTACACACACATGAGGAAAATCTGGTCATCTGAAGGTCTGTACAGACCTGTATTCTGCCCCTTAAAGTTGGCACCAAAGAGCAAGTGCTTGCAGGAAGCTAGAGGTGTAGTGTGAACAGAGGTGACTGTAGGCTGAAGAGCCCATTTGCCACTTAGAGCGATAAATGGACCAGCAGGAATCCCAAGGAAGTACAGCAAAGACAAATATGGAGCCCTGGACCTGGGTTGGAACAGTCCTACAGTTCATGTTCTGACTTGACAGAACAAAGCCCTGAGAAACTCCTCCGATGCAGAAAGGGCCTGTTTTTGAGCTGTATTGGTTACCCAGGGAAAACTCAGGTTAGATATCAGGAAGGAGATTTTTACTGTTATCTATTCAGCTGTTTTCTGTGTTTACCACCTTGTGTTTTTAGTTTCTCAAGAGACAGGACCTGCTGAATGTCCTGGCACGCATGATGAGGCCGGCATCAGACCAAGTGGTGCGTACTCAGCTCTTGAGATTAGCTCTGATAAACTGTTGCATTCCTTCTGTTCTGCTCTGTTGCTTTTGATTGTTCCAGGTGATTTCTGTAGTATTCCATATCTTCCAGTTCAGTAACTATTGAAACAACCTCAAAGAATTGTTCATATTTCTTTCCTGCCTGTGAAATTCAAACTGCTGATGACTGGAAGTTGCTTTGTCTGTGGATTTTATCATTTGAGTGGTTTTGTGAGTCTATCATGATTCAAGACATGATATTGATAAAAAGTGGTTTTACAGTCTGAAATACTTAGTGATTGTTCATCTGTCTGTTCAGTC